TAGATATAATATTTGACTAAAACATAATAATTTCCTTGCTTACATTTGTAAATTATCACGTGTCTCTCTATTATGAGTGAAAATACATTTTACATTTACATTTTAGTCATTTAGCAGACGCTCTTATCCAGAGCGACTTAGGGTTAAGTGCCTTGCTCAAGGGCACAGACAGATTTTTCACCTAGTCGGCTCGGGAATTCGAACCAGCAACCTTTCAGTTACTGGCCCAGCAGTTACCGGCCCAGCACTCTTAACAGCTAGGCTACCTGCCGCCCAGATTTCCCAAATTAAAATCCCTTGGAGCTGATTTCCTGGTGTTTTTACAGTTTTTTATGTCCAACAATGGAAATTCAACAGAAAACTTGGGGGGCCAAATAAAACCACCCGCGGGCCACCAGTTGGGGAACCCTGCTGTGGGAATTGCCAGGGACCTCACGATACGATATCACGATACTTAGGTGCCGATATGATGTGTATTGCTATTCGATACTGCGATTCTATTGCGATTTGATGCTCCAAACATATTGCTCACTATATGTCTGCTTCAGAGAGACAAGATTGAGCATGAAAAAAGTTATGAGACATAAAAAAAAGTGTGTAAAACATGTTGGCTCACTATTTAAAAAGATGATGAGAACAAGCAATAGGATGAAAAATACTGGGGTTTTGGCACAGGTACAGCCGACTAGCGCTAGCTAAATCTACCTACAGTAGCAATTATTTTTTATATAAACTCAGCAAAAAAAGAAACGTCCTCTCACTGTCAACTGCGTTTATTTTCAGCAAACTTAACATGTGTAAAAATGTGTATGAACATAACAAGATTCAACAACTGCGACAAACTGAATAAGTTCCACAGACATGTGACTAACAGAAATTGAATAATGTGTCCCTGAACAAAGGGGGGGGGGGGGTCAAAATCAAAAGTAACAGTCAGTATCTGGTGTGGTCACCAGCTGCATTAAGTACTGCAGTGCATCTCCTCCTCATGAACGGCACCAGATTTGCCAGTTCTTGCTGTGAGATGTTAACCCACTCTTCCACCAAGGCACCTGCAAGTTCCCTGACATTTCTGGGGGGAATGGCCCTAGCCCTCACCCTCCGATCCAAAAGGTCCCAGACATGCTCAATGGGATTGAGATCCGGGCTCTTCGCTGGCCATGGCAGAACACTGACATTCCTGTCTTGCAGGAAATCACGCACAGAACGAGCAGTATGGCTGGTGGCATTGTCATGCTGGAGGGTCATGTCAGGATGAGCCTGCAGGAAGGGTACCACATGAGGGAGGAGGATGTCTTCCCTGTAACCCACAGCGTTGAGATTGCCTGCAATGATAACAAGCTCAGTCCGATGATGCTGTGACAAACCGCCCCAGACTATGACGGACCCTCCACCTCCAAATCGATCCCGCTCCAGAGTACAGGCCTCGGTGTAACGCTCATTCCTTCGACGATAAACGCGAATCCGATCATCACCCCTGGTGAGACAAAACCGCAACTCGTCAGTGAAGAGCACTTTTTGCCAGTCCTGTCTGGTCCAGCGATGGTTGGTTTGTGCACATAGGCGACGTTGTTGCCGGTGATGTCTGGTGAGGACCTGCCTTACAACAGGCCTACAAGCCCTCAGTCCAGCCTCGCTCAGCCTATTGCAGACAGTCTGAGCAATGATGGAGGGATTGTGCGTTCCTGGTGTAACTCGGGTAGTTGTTGTTGCCATCCTGTACCTGTCCCGCAGGTGTGATGTTCGGATGTACCGATCCTATGCAGGTGTTGTTACACGTGGTCTGCCACGGTGAGGACGATCAGCTGTCCGTCCTGTCTCTTAGGCGTCTCACAGTATGGACATTGCAATTTAAGGCACGTTCACGCAGATAAGCAGGGACTCTGGGCATCTTTCTTTTGGTGTTTTTCAGAGTCAGTAGAAAGGCCTCTTTAGTGTCTTAAGTTTTCATAACTGTGACCTTAATTGCCTACTGTCTGTAAGCTGTTCGTGTCTTAACGACCGTTCCATAGGTGCATGTTCATTAATTGTTTATGGTTCATTGAACAAGCATGGGAAACAGTGCTTAAACCCTTTACAATGAAGATCTGTTAAGTTATTTGGATTTTACGAATTATCTTTGAAAGACAGGGTCCTGAAAAAGGACGTTTCTTATATATATTTTTTCTTCTTCAAATTGATACTTGGAGTCAAATATCGATATAATATCATCCCAAAAATTATATTGCGATATGTAACTATTGTTTTTTCCCCCCGCCATCACTAGAAGGCATACAGTATGTCTTGTAGCTCTTGCTGTGCCCCAGGGCAGCACTGGTAGGCAGTGACCAGTGCTTCTACAGTCTGAGATCACACACACGCGTGTAAGCTAAAGCTCAAAGTCCCGTCTCACAGCCAGCCAGCAGCAGGAAGAACACAGCCAAGTGAGCCCAGAGCACATCCTCCCATTGTTACTGCTGCTACAGCTCTCTACAGCAAGGGTTCCCAAACTCGGTCCTGGGGCCCGCCCCCCCCCCCCGGGTGCACGTTTTGGTTTTTGTCCTAGCACTACACAGATAATCAAAGCTTGATGATGAGTTGGTTATTTGAATCAGCTGTGTAGTGCTAGGGCAAAAACCAAAACGTGCACCCAGAGGGGAGCCCCAGGACCGAGTTTGGGAAACCCTGCTAAGTTACATAATCGTTCAGAGTAGAATCAACTAAAATGGGGCCAAAAGTTCGAAATCAAGCTCTTGTCCTAGAGTTGAAGTTATGGCCTGTGTGTGTGCATTGCAGCACCCCAAACTGGTAAACAGCACGTAGAGACGAGCATCCTAGGTCCCTTACATAGTGGGTCATATCAATATGAAGAACTGGTCCGCGCTGGACGTTTATTAACAGTCTCACACATTTTAAATGACCAACTGTGAAAGGTGGAACTCAAACTGAGAAGTAAACTTGAGCAAAAGAACACCAAGGTGTCAGATATGGAAGACGGTGTGAAGGTTACAGTGAGTGGAACAGCAGCACATACTGGAGTTCCCTTCTATTTCCTGTGTCTTTCCATCCTCAACCACCTCCTCTCCTGCTGCTGTCCTGCCAAAACCTCTACACATTCACACCATACCCACACAACCAGGGTACTTTGGGCTCCCGAGTGGCGCAGCTGTCTAAGGCACTGCATCTCAGTGCTAAAGGCGTCACTACAGACCCCCTGGTTCGATTCCAGGCTGTATCACAATCTGGCCGTGATTGGGAGTCCCATAGGGCGGCGCACAATTGGCCCAGCGTCGTCCGGGTGTGGCCGGGGCAGGCCGTCATTGTAAATAACAATTTGTTCTTAACTGACTTGCCTAGTTAAATAAAAAGGCTAAAAAAACATACAAGGCATAAACCCTTGTTTCCAAGAGAAGTGAGCATAGCACCTTACCGACTTGGACTGGTCCTTCCTCCCGACCACAGAGAACCACATGGTGTAGATAGTTAGTTCCCGCTCGGCTAGTGCAGGCTGGAGCTCAGGCTCAATTTAAAAAGTCCACAACAAGGGGCAGATCACAGCGAACAAAACAAAAACAGCTAACGAAGGAGGAGAGACTAGTGCGGAGCAGTGAGTGAAAGAGATAGCTCCACTTTACATGCTACTGTAGGACCCATATGGCAAATATCAGCAGCCAGCCGGAGTAGGAAATACCATATCCAGACTGTTACATAACCAGTCCACTAGCCCCGCTACTCTGCAGTTTGGGTAACCTTTCAGAGCACTTCCCAGCTGTGTGTTCTGCACCAGGCAAAACTATCATTACTCTCCGCTTTTGGTTTTTCTTTCTCATTCCCTTGCTTCCCCAGTCTGTCTCTGCCCTGTGTCTTCCGTCCTCCCCTCCCATTTTTCTCTCCTTCCCTCCCTCCGCCCTCCCCATCTCCGCCCCCTCTCTCCGTCTTTCTTGCCTTACACACCACCTCAGGTTGAAAATAGCAGTAAAAACACAGGGGATGTGGCCACCTCAAACTCGAGCACTTTGCTTTGAAAATAAACAGTTCAGGAAGCCCCCCCCCCCTTTCCTCCCCCCTCCTCTATCCACCACCTCCTCTTCCTCTCAGACTCCCACTCTTCTGGCAGCCTAGTAAGACCCCAGACACACATTCACATTACCCACACAGACCAAACCGGGTCAGAAGTGGGCTAAAACTGGGCCAGCTGCCAGTCAGTCACCCAGGCCAAAAACAGCTGGCCAACACTGCCTATGTTCTATGCTAACTAACTAATTCCCCACTGCAAATTATGACGCTCTATTTAAAGAGTCTATTACTGTAAGTTGTTAGCACAGTCGGACCAAAAGGTGAGGAAAACCACAGTGTCTGAAAACCACAGGGTTCCTCCCTGCCTGCTCTGCTTCCTCTGACACTAGGACATGATGGTTAGGACCAGGGACGGCTGGAACTCAGGAGGAAACACACTGTCAGTCGGGAGACAGATTTGCTTACTGCTGTTTTGACTTCCAATTTGAATGTTTGCCGTACAGACGGACAGAAACAAAGAGCGACCTGTTCCAGTAAAAACAGCCTGTGTGTTTCAAACACCCTCAGAGTGCTGAGGTCAGGCAGAACAGTCGAGCTAACTCTGCCAGTAGAGGAACCATGACAGTCGCTTCATCACACACACACACACACACACACACACACACACACACACACACACACACTCTATCAAAGAGCTCCCTGCTCTGCCCATATCTCTCCTGGCATCCAATCATTATCCGGGGTTACAGCAGGGTAATGTAGTAAACAACCCAGAAGAGAACCCAGTACAAACTAAGGCTCTTACATCCATCCACACGGCTAGAAACAGCATGTTCCACTGGCATTGTTGTTGCCCAGAAAATGAGGACACGTTCAAAAAACCTTGAGGCGCGGTCAGGCAGGCTCTTAACAACGGCTGAGATAAGGGCTTATTTTTGATTATTTATGTGTTCACCAGGCAGAAGGCATCAAGTCTGCTCGAGTATGGATGCAACAAATGTAATTCAATGTTTCTGGCTTGTTTCTGTAGAGTCTCTGTATTTCTCATCGTTCAGATAGCACTTCCCTTCCAGCCAGGAGGTCACAAACCTCTTCCAGGAGGTCACAAACCTCTTCCAGGAGGTCACAAACCTCTTCCAGGAGTACTAGTGGGTATCGACAAAAACCTTTTAGCTTAAATACTAAAAGGACAGGATTAAGAGATGTCTTACCTTGGCAGCCACAATGCTGAGGCCCATGCCTTTGTGCTTCTTCAGGGTGACCGTCACAACTTCCGGTTCCTTCCGCATTTGCTGCAACGAGAGGAGACAGCAGCGTTAGCGTCGGAAAAAACTATCAACTGGAGTAGCTGGAGTGCAGTTGGTGTCAGTGGTGGGATCCGGTGAGCAGGTCAGTCAGGCTTCTAAAAGGCTCTCAGAGCTGGGAGCTCTCTCTCTGGGACGCTCCTCTGGCAAAATGAGGCGCAGGAGGAGGAAGCAGGGGAATAGAGCAGAGCAGTCATACAGAGAGAGAGCTGGGTTGGGGTGACCGCAACGAGAAATGGCGGGTGCTGGAGAGGAGTCAAGAATGAAAGCCATATGCACTTGGCTCCAGAGGCTCTCAATGGGCTCATTTAAAAGGAGGGCTGCCTGGAAACAGGGTGGGGAGAGGGAGGAAGAGGGAGTGAAAGCGAGAGAGCAGTGCTTCCCACACAAAGAGGCACACAGACAGACAGCCTCTCCTCCCTATGGCACTGAACACATTGACACTCAACAGCCCCAAACAACTCTTCACTCAGCTGAAAAGCTTTGCTGTACTACCACATAGTTCAGAGATGAAGAGAAAGAGAGAGAAAGAGAGAATGGATACAAAGCCACAATAAGTAACAGGGCTGTGGTGGCATTTCTCATCTGATGTGGTGCAGAACAAGTATTTCTGAATGCCATTGGAGTGATTCACCAAGTGCTAGAGGGCAGGGCAATGGTGATGCAGGGTTCAGCTGGCTACAATGAGTAAACAATGCATTCATTCAGACAATAGCAATTCTCTCTCTCTTAACTAGAGAAGAGAGAGATATAGAGAGAGAGAGAGAGAGAGAGGCGAGAGAGAGCAAAGAGAAGAAAGCAGAGATCGATCTATGCGAGAGAGATAGAGAGAGAGATAGAGAAGAGAACGAGAGAGAGATGGAGATCAGAGAGAGGAGGATCGCTATCTAGAGATAGAGAGCTATCGGAGCTAGCCATCAGCTGATCTCTGACGAGATAGATATTCTCTCAGAGCGATACCTTCTTCGAGCGACTCGCGACTCTCAGCTATTGCTCCTCTCTCTCTAGCTCTCTCTAGTCTCTTATGCTCTCGCGTCCGCGCGCGCGTCCGCTCCTTTGAGCCTTCCTCTAGCCTCGCGTCTCTCTCTTTGCGGAGGTTCTCCGTAGAGGAGAGAGAGAGAGAGAGTTTCACTAGGCTAGCTACAGACTGCACTAGGCTAGCTACAGTTACACCTCCTGTCTGTACTAGTGACCAGGGAAACCTACAGACACCTGGGGTGTATACATTAGTCGAATTCCATTGCAAAACGTTTTGCAACGGAGACCATTTACTCCAGGAATCAAATTGAAACAAACAGAACGAAATGGGGAGGGAGCTACCTAAAAGTGTCCAATAGAAACTCTCGTTTTCGTTGAAAAACATTTTCCATTTGGAGTAAACAGTTTCTGCTGCCAAACTTTTTGCAACCGACAAAACGTTTTGAAACGGAATCCGACGAATGAATACACCCGATTGTTCTTCTCCTCAGGGATCCCCTGTCTGTCTCTGTGTGTCTGATTAACCCTGTAATGGCTGTTAACAGGAAAACACTATGGAACACTACAGTAGTGATTCTGGCGCAAGCCGGTGGTAACATGAGGTGGGGTGCCGGGGTCACCCTGCCTGGCACACAACCAAGAGGCCATTAATCAGAACCTCAGCAGTGTTTAAACGGTTTGGATGCCCTCCTCCCCTCACTCCCTACCCTCTCCCTAATCCCTTTAATACTGTGGGGGCTGGGGCTGACGCCCGCCCTGAGCTGACCTGGGGTTTGAAGCATGAAAAAGGAGAGCTGGGGAAAAACAGGGCAATTATACAGGAAGCAGTGCAATATAGGGGCTTTTGTGTGATTAGGGTGAGGAAAAGGGTATAATTTGCTGCTGTTCCAGAGCCCTCCGGTCAATAATTGGCCTCTGTGGTGTAAATGGTGTTGATTGAAATTGAGCAGGAGGGAGTATGTCTGTGTGTGTGTGTGTGTTAGGGTAAAGTAGAGTAGAGCAGAACAGTGATTACATGACTGCAATATGGGACATTAAAGGCTGTTCATACGATCGTTACATACAGCATGAGCCGTGCCAAAACATTGTCACAAAGCATACATGATGAGTAACTGAAACATATTTAAGTATCATAAACAGCTCAAAGTAGCTGTGCTTATCTGTTACTTAGTACTATGGTGGCTATTGTACAAGGACAGTCTGCGTCATGAGTACTAGCCAATACTCCGCATTACCATGCAGCTCAATGTAATGGTCTTCGCCTTGCATAGTTCTACAGTTGTAACGGTCAGAGGGACACCTACCACGTCTGAGTTTTCTGCAGAGAAGTGGCTGTCGCAGTCGGCTCCTTCAAAGTGGATGGTCCAGGTCCCAGGGGAGCGCGGGTGAGGGGTTAGTCGACAGAATCCTGCACAGGACACAACAGAAAATCACACAGTTATCTTCTTCTTCTACTACTACTTAGTACAGATCTGGGATTACAGTGACACGGAAGCACAAACTGCTCTTGGAATACACCTCCCTCTCTCGCATAAGCAAACACAATGATAAGGACAGGAGCAAACAGCTCTCCAGTCTCCCAGACTCTTCTTACATTCTACATTCCACTGCCAACAGAACAAACACGGGTCAGCTCAGCCTCTGATTGGCTCACAATGACAGAACACAACCTGTGTGACATTCCGGAATGTAACTCATTAATGTTTTTTTCTCTCTTCTACACAAGTACCTCTCTGACAAAGGGGGTCCAGGAACTCCTGGAATCCATTGGGAATGTTGCGCACAACGTCGCAGGAGTAGCCGTCCTCGGGCAGTAGGAAGGGCAGCTGCAGGTCGGGGTCCTCCTCCAGCTGGACCTCTCGGCCGTCGCTACGGGCCAGCTCATCTGCCGTGTTCTCCGCCACGGCAACCACGTGGTCTATCAGGTCCTATTGGGAGAGACACCAGATAGACCAATAAGGGTCTAGTTAGAGATACCAGATGGACCAATGAGGGTTTAGTTAGAGACACGAGATAGACCAATGAGGGTTTAGTTCGAGCAGAAGTATAAGTGTCTAATAGTCCTCTGACTGTTTCCTCAAAAACCCTCCATGTAGAGGCAGCAACTGCAACTGGAAAAAATAGCTAAGAAGATCAGTCAAGTGAAGAGCTTAGCTAATGTTTCCCCAAAACGTACAGGACAAACTCCAACGCATTACAACTACGGGAGGAGACTTGTGTTAAGCAATGCTTCAAATCGCAACCCCCTATTTCTCCACTTCAGAATCACTCATTCATAGTCACTCACTGTAACTGTACTATGTGAATGGAGCAGTTTGTCGTCATGTCTTACGGGGGGGATGTAAGGCTCATCAGGAGCACAGTGGTAGTTGGTCATGAGGGCGTTGAGCTGCAGGGAGTTCAGCTTGAAGCAGGTGTTGTGGATGTTCTGCACATCCTGCATGGAGTACTTGTCCATGGTGAGGAGAGTCGTAGCCTGGGGAGGAACAACAGAACAGAGAACTATTAATGACAGAGAAGGACTCGATTTACAGTGACCTGTGGTCCATACTAAATGCTTTCCCCTACAAGGTAGGTCACAAAGGCTCCTAAAGCATCATCCAAAGCTGCTGACATGTTTTCAATAGAAACCATTTGACAAGTAATCTTTCGAGGTGAAAGGGCCTGCCCTGCCTACAGTAAGTCATGGTATGGAAAACAGTGGGTAGCTAACAGCCCTAACAGGATGTGCCTTCCTGGACAATGGTAGGTGTACCCTACCTGTACGATCCGACTGAGGTGGCAGTCGGCGGCCAGCTCCAGGCCCTGTTTCTCTGCCCAGGCCTCGATGTGGCTGAGCTGCTGGCGGAGGATGGCGCCCCAGTAGTGTGAACACAGTCCAGAGTCGGCCTCCGTCACCAGCTTGTTGAACAGCCACATGTTGATGAAGTGGAAGAGCTGGGAGAACAGCTGGATGGTCAGTGCCGCGTTGACACGGCAACGCCGCAGCAGCGACATGGCGCCCGTCAGGGTGTGCAGAACGTCCTCTGTGAGAGGACAGTGGAGGAGGATAAGGAATGGGGGGAGGAGGACAGCGTTAGGACTAGTGAAGTCACCATTGACCCTTGGGTCTAATCCCATTAAAGTCCATAGGGAAAAGTAAGAAGGAGTAGAAATTCTACCAACGTTTCAGTTGATTTATACAGTTTATCCCCACTAGAGGGCTCAGTCTTCAAAACCAAGTTGAGTGACATTCTGTGTGGCTGTAAATACACTGGTAACAGTACCCTGTGGCCTGGCTGACAGTAGTTTATGTACACAGTAAGAGTTTTAGCGTATGAACAGAAGTGAGTCACCTATTTTGGGCCTCTGAGGGTTCTGTTCCTCTGGGTCATCCAGAAAGGCAGGCATGTAGTTATTAAGGTCAGACTGCAGACACTGGACCAGGTACCTGAGACAACAACATACAGTACATAGGTTCTGAATAGTCCACATGGATATGGACTCACAAAGACACATACAATGCATATACGGCCACCTACGCAAACCCAACCTCACACATGTTCAATTGCACTGAGAGAAACACACAAACACAAAGACAGACACGAATGCAGACACACACACTCCCCCTGCTCTGTGGCCCTAAGGGGACTTCTCCTGGAATCCCACAGTAAACCAGCGGTCTGGCCGGCTCGGCCACCGCTCTGATCTACTCTGGGGACACAAAGCACCAGTTCTTTCAGCTGGCCATTCCAGGGAGTGGCAAGCAGAGCAGGGGGAACGGGGGACTGAGAGAGCCGTCTGAAACCACTGTGTTTTTACTGAGACCTCTCCCCAGGCCCATCCAGCCCGGCCAACACAAGCCAGGCCCAGGACATTCCACACATTCACTGCTCCCCTTCCTGCTCCTGTATCCACACAATGGCTCCAGAAATACTACTTTCTCCAGATCCGTACATGGTCTGAGATGAAGCAAGACCATTATCTTGCGTAACCCCCTGTGTCTATTGCAACATTCAATATAACATTGTGACATTGATAAAATGCTAGTTAAAAACACAGCTCACAGTTGAGCTCAAGCAGAAGTTGGCACGGACAGCTAAGCGCTAGCTACAACATTGAGAACAAGGGCCTTTTTTTTCCATGGGCAGCAAACACCTATATTTTGATTTCTCTCTCAGGAGAATCAGCAGTGGCAGTGAAGGTCACATTTGGATCTATAATTTCCTTAATCATTTCCCAATTATCTCATTACCATGAATGTGATAGTTTCCTGTGGTTCACATGTGGTTTGAGTTAGCCCTGATGGCTTTCACACAGTGTGGAGCTGCTGCACCGCTTGGCACACAGACACAGCTGGGAGCAGGATAACCTAAAGCCTTGTGTTTAGGTCATGGACGGGATAGTGAGGACAAGGAAAGGATCGGAAGAGGGACAGGAACAAGAATCATAGAGCTATAGGGAGTGGTAAGAAGGGAGGGTATAATGACAGGGCAGCTTTGACTAGGACAGGAAAAGAGGCAAGATATTAACAGGGTAGGAGTACACAATGGGGCAGGAGCAGAGACAGGGCAGAGGCAGTTTAAACGTTCGACAGGAGCACCAAACTAGAGAGGCCCAGGGTTAGGAAAGAGACCGGGGCCAGAGCGTAGGGAGGAAGTCGGGTCACTCACTTGAAGGCCATCTGGACAAGGTGTGCCAGCACGTCCTGGGCATCCAGTGTGATGCGCGACAGGTCCTTGTCCTGTTTGATGAAGTTGAGCAGCTCTGAGGCATTGGCCATCCAGAAGGCCAGGGCCCCCGCGATGTTCTTCTGCTTCTGGAATACACCAATCACAGAGCAGGACAGACAGAGAGAGAAAGAGCAAGAGAGAGAGCAGGGGTCAGAGGCAGGGTAGGACACACACAGGGGGGTGACTCTCTCAGACTCACAGCCATGAGCAGTAGCAGCACTCCAGGGATAGACTTGTGTCAGACACCCTACCCCACCCCAATCCGAGACCCACAGAACCAGACACTGGCCCCTAACTACAGCCTCTCCCAGAGCGAACAGGTCCCTGACTTCAAGGTCAGTTTGAGGGAGGGCCCTTTGCAGAGTAGGCTACTGGATTAACAGGCTGTTTGGCATATTACAGTGGCAGTTCTTGTACCGCTCCAGGTAGAAGTCCCATGTAATAAGCACAGATCTAAGATCAGTTTACCCTCCCCAATCCTAACCGTAACCATTTAGGGAGAAACTGACCTTAGAACAGTGTATAGAGAGAATTTCCTTCAACTTCTCTTTTCTAGTTAGCTTCTGTGTGGAGTGGTTCTCTGCCGGTCCTCTACTCTAGCAGCAGCCATCTCTGCACTGGCCCAAATATTCTACATCAACTAGTACACAAACAATATTTTTCTGGGATGGACATTCAGTTCAGTCCTCATGTACAGTACCTTCAGAAAGTATTCATATCCCCTTAACTTTTTCCACATTTTGTTGTGTTACAGCCGGAATTTAAAATGGATTAAATTGAGATTTTGTGTCACTGGCCTACACACAATAACCCTTATATGTCAATGTTTATAGACATTTTTACAAACTAATTAAAAATGAAAAGCTGAAATGTTCTTGAGTCAGTAAGTATTCAACCCCTTTGTTATGGCGAGCCTAAATAAATTCAGGAGTAAATATGTGCTTAATAAGTCACATAATAAGTTGCATGGACTCACTCGGTGTGCAATAATAATGTTTAACATGATTTTTGAATGACTGCCTCATCTTTGTACCCAACACATACAATTATCTGTAAGGTCCCTCAGTCGAGCAGTGAATTTCAAACAGATTCAACCACAAACACCAGGGAGGTTTTCCAATGCCTGGCAAAGAAGGGCACCTATTGGTAAATGGGTAAAATAAATTAAAATAAAAGCAGACATTGAATATCCCTTTGAGCATGGTGAAGTTATTAGTTACACTTTGGATGGTGTATCAATACACCCAGTCACTACAAAGATCCAGGCGCCCTTCTTAACTCAGTTGCCGGAGAGGAAGGAAACCGCTCAGGGATTTCACCATGAGGCCAATGGTGACTTTAAAACAGTTACTGAGTTTAATGGCTGTGATAGGAGAAAACTGAGGATGGATCAACAACATTGTAGTTACTCCACAATACTAACCTAAATGACAGAGTGAAAAGAAGGAAGCTTGTTCAGAATAAAAATATTTTAAAAACATGCATCCTGTTTGCAATAAGGCACTAAAGTAAAACTGTCTTGAATATAAAGTGTTATGTTTAGGGCAAATCCAACACATCTCTGAGTACCACTCTTCATATTTTCGAGCATGGTGGTGGCTGCATCATGTTATGTGTATGCTCATCATCGGCAAGGCCGAGGGAGTTTTTTTAGGATAAAAGAAAGAGAATAGAGCTAAGCATAGGCAAAATCCTAGAGGAAAACCTCTGCTTTTCAACAGACAATAAGCTAAAACATAAGGCCAAATATACTCTGGAGTTGCTTACCAAGATGACATTGAAAGTTCCTGAGTAGCATAGTTAGTTTTTTCTTAAAATCACCTGAAACTGTATGGCAAGACTTGAAGATGTCTGTCTAGCAATGATCAACAACCAACTTGACAGAGCTTGAAGAATTGTATTTTAAGTAATGTGCAAATATTGGACAATCCAGGTGTGCAAAGCTCTTCGAGACATACCCAGAAAGACTCACAGCTGTAATCGCTGCCAAAGGTAATTCTAATATGTATTGACTCAGCGGTGTGAATACTTATGTAAATGTGATATTTTTGTATTTCATTTTCAATACATTTGCAAAGATTTCTAAAAACATGTTTTCACTTTGTCATTATGGGGTATTGTGTGTAGATGGGTGAGAAAATAAATATGTTTAATCCATTTTGAATTCAGGCTGTAACAACATAATGTGGACTAAGACAAGTGTTATGAATACTTTCTGAAGGCACTGTATTTTACCCTATAAAGCTGGTCTTGAACACCTCTAACATTTAGCAGAGATGATCAAGAGAAAACTATGAGGCGGCAGATAGTGCTTTAGAGCCCAGTGTCTGGTCTGTGTGATGAGTTAATGTCAATGTCCCCTTGACACAAAGAAAAAGGGATACACAAGGTCCGCCCAACGTGTCTCGGCCGGCACTGGCCCCTGTGTATTCCGCACTCGTCTATCCCCGCCACGAAACGACAACACCCCCCTTTCAGAACGGCCACAGAACAGAACGCGTCCAAAAGAACAACGACGTTAAACCACAGATATAAAATAAAAAATTTAAAGGGAAAAATTCAACAAAAGCAAAAGAACAGCGGGGTTTGTCTCTCATCCACACTGAAGCGCAGTAAAGCAGGTCACATTACATGAATTAATTAAAATGGTTCCACAATCAGAGAGATTGGTTGGGGTTGTTTTTAGTACCACATGTTCCAAGTTGCTGAATGAGGGTTATTATGTTGGTGTTTTAGAGTCCAGCTGTAGGAGGAGGGATTATTTGGCGGTTTGGTTTGGTTGAGGGTTTTTGGGGGTTTCTGTTATGGAGAAAAGAAGCATGGAGGACTGAGCAAAGCTTGACTGAGCCGATAGAGGGAGAGACGGCGTGAGAGAGATAAAAGAGAGAGAGAGAGAGAGAGTTCTCTCCCCTAGCAACGTGTTAGGTGTCCTACCTGGTCCCCTTCAGGAATCTCCTGTAACAGAGAGGTGAGAGGGGAAACAGACAGACAGACATCCCACAGGACAGAGAGAGACTATCAACAACAGCCAAGGCATGGACAGAGATTGACACAGACATGTCAACAAAACACACAGTACACACACACACACACACACTAGTCCCTTTGAGTCAAAGAGACGTTACAACAACCTTCTCTATAATTTAGGATGTTCCGTTTACAAAAGGCGTCTAGAGGAGCTCTTTTGATTAAATTAACTCCTTTGATCAAAAGTTATGGGTGTTTGTAGTTAAAAATTGCACATATTCAACTGGCAGCATATACTTTTGCATGTACCCAAAATTAAGTATTCCTGTAGGAGGCAGAGACTTTGTGCCAATTTTATGATTTAAGAAACACAGCCTAAATATCCAATGTCTCTCATGGAGGCTTAAGACTTGGATTTCCAAAATCATCCGGATGAAAACCACCTTTAAATGGATTTAATGACTGATTCCTGTAAGACTCATGCAGAGCAGCGCAGACATGTGGAGATTTCCCTAATGCTCTTGGTGTGTGTCTCAGACACTGTTCGTGTGTAGACAGATAATAATCTATTAATAACAGACTACACTCTGCATGTAAGTTGAGACTGTGTCTTTAGGGTTGTATATAGAGACAGGATGAGGAATCCCATAAGGACTGACCAGACCAACCACACATCTTAACTCCCTCCATCTCAGAGGAAGCTATGTGGAGTCAGTCAAACTCTACTGTGTTTAGTTTTTTTTACTATTTTGGCCATTTTGGTTTTTCACACAACTCCAGGGTTGGTGTCTCAGAGTATGGGTGTTACTGCTACGCATTTGGGTTTTATGTGTTGGCTGAGAGGGCTTTTGGAACACAAGGACCCTATATTTCAGTGTGTTCCAGTGAATTAATTTAAAGGGTCATGCCTTGTTTAAATCATTACGAGGGGGACACAAAGACGCTGGACAGACAAACACATAACATGGGCTTCGCATCTATACAAAGTATTCTCTGGAAATGACCTGGATGAATAAAGCAAAATATTTCTCTGCAAGACAAACTACTACTACTACTGCTGTTACTACTACTACGGATGCTTGGACGACTACCTACTCAGCTATACTGAGATTTTCTTTGGGGTTTTGTTTTGGTCCTGGGCACTCTGTTTCTAGAAGGTCGTGGAATGAAGCAAATCAAAAGAAAAATAACAAAAGGTTAGAGAACAAAGGTTTTTGTCAGGGTGGCCTTTCCTCAGGCATCTGGCTGACAGGACATAAGGTGGTCATATATGCTTCCAAGCCCTGGCCTTAACCCTTGGATGTCCTGCTGATTCAAAAGAGGAGAAAAAAAAGAAAGTACGGTGGCAGTGAGGACTCACCTGGATGACTCCTTCCATCATGCTCACCATCTTGTTGACTATGGCTATGACCTTGTGAGTGCGTTCCGAGGGACTGATGTCGGGCCGGTAGTGGCTGGACATGACATATCGACAGGTCATGTACAGCACGTAGGTGGGGGACAGCTTGAAGTGCACCGTGGAGCTGTTGGTGTAGTTGATGATGGCCGACAGAAAGGCATCTTCGGCTGGAGGGGGCAAGGAGGGTGACATGCACACGAGCAGACACACAGATAGGCAGAGACACACAAAGGAGAGGATAAGGTGTGAGTTTACATGACATAGGTCACACAGGTCATATCAGTACGGCTTTAAAGAAACTAACTAGCTATAGGTTCACCCAGGAGTCTCAGTGTGTGTGCTTGTTACAGTAGGGACTCAGATGGGCTTTGTGATAACATTGTCCCCAACCCTGTCTTCCTGGTTCCCCAGCAAGGGTTGTTTGTAGAGCATTGTGAGAGCAAACCCCCTCTATTGGAAATCAAAGGCCTCTGCTCTCTCTGCTCCCTGGCCAAACACATGAGCTCACAAAACTCAAAATATACAGTGACTGACTGAGCCGGGCCCAAGACTGCAGAGTCCACAAACAATGTTAGGCATATAAAAGAGCTTGAAAGGCAGTTAAAATGGCTTAAATTAACAAAGCTATGCCCAAGGGGGGCGAGAAAGCCCATCTCACATGAAGTAGCAGCACATGGGAGAACCATTACATGTCATTCAGAGTAAACTGTTGGGTTATGCTCCCTATTGATTAGAATAGGAGGAAGGATCGAAAGAGGAGAGAGCTAGAGCTAGCTAGAGAGAGCGAGAGCTAGCTAAAGAGAGAGCTAGAGCGAGCTAGAGAGAGAGAGCTAGAGAGAGAGAGCTAGAGAGAGCTAGAGAGAGAGAGCTAGAGAGAGAGAGCTAGAGAGAGCTAGAGAGCGCGCTAGAGAGAGAGCTAGAGAGAGCAAGCAAGATAGAGAGAGAGCGAGAGAGAGACAATTCCCTGTTGGGGGAGGACGCAGAGAGCTGTGGGTTGGCAGCGCACTACATTTCTGTATGCCATAAGACGAGGAAGTGTCTTATGGCATTCAGAGACCACAGCAGTTGTTGTCACAGCTTGACTAATGCATGTAGACATTCATACAAATATGACCTCTATGGTACTAAGGTCTAACAATGTGTGTAGTTTTACATAATACCATTTCACTCAATGTTAACATGACCGTGTTCAATAAAACATTAAAAGCCAGTTAGCAGCAGCAGACAATGAATCCATACTTTCCACCCATCGATCTTTCAGACAATAGCTAAGTGTACTATGGCATGACCTCCAGCTAAAAATAGACACTGAAAGCATCACACAGATGGTGTGGAAGGCCCATATCGAGTTATGTTATCATTACTTTTACTAAACAACAAGTATCAGAAAGAGAGAAATGGGAAGAGAAAGGTACAAAAGGGAAAGAAAGAGAGAGAAAGAGGAAAAAGCCAGAAAGAAAAAGTGAGAAAGAAAGAGAGCGCCAGTACTCAGCTCCAGTAGAAAAGGTGGTTGCAGTACTCACAGTTGTCCCTGAACTCAATGCTGGCTGGCAGCGTCAGTTCTGGGCTCAGGATGTCCTGGGACCTGTGGGGAGGACAGACGTGGTGCTTCTCAGTGAACCAGTACACGAAGGGCCCGTTCATCCCACTGTCCACCGACACCCACCTCTCCAGGGGCAGAGCCCACGCACAGCGGTACAGCATGGCTCAATCTGCTCTGGATGTGTGTGTGTCCGTAGATGTGTGTGTGGTGTGTGTCCGTAGTTGTTTGTGAGAGCATGAGCTTCCCTATGCGTCAGAATGAGCAGCCTTATGTGTGTGTGTGTGTACAGCATGTATGAACATTGTGTGTGTGTACCAAGCTCAGTGGTCTGTATTATTGATGAGGGGACCCAGTACAGCTCAGTGAGGAGAATAGAGCTGTGCCTGGTTCACAAGGCCTAGATGGAGATCGGGTGTCCAACAGCCGGAGCGTGACAGAGTTATGACGTTAGCTACTGTACCACTGCCCTCTACGCAGCACCACAAAAAAGACATAGATGTCTCTAGTAGCAGTCAACCTAACTGTTAGGATTTAATTGACTACAATGGAGATTCCAGATTTGCGTGTGTGTGTGTGTGTCTCACCTGCTGTCCTGCTGCTCCCCGCGGATCATGGGTTTGACCATGCCTCTCTCGCTGCCGTTGGATGAACGCTCCATATCCAGCTTACCTGAGCTCTGCAATGACACAGCAACACACAGTATGGTATTAAGACTTATTTTTCTTAAAACTGCATTGTTGGTTAAGGGCTTGTAAGTAAGCATTTCACTCTAAGGTCTACACCTGTTGTATTCGGCGCATGTGAGAAATAAAATGTGATTTGATGGAATGTTCTGCAACCCAACAATGATGCTGATGGCATTAACAACACATTAAACACTTGGACCGCAATCACATTAAAAAACCACATGAGTAGTGCAGACTAAAGAGGAAGGGCCACCATGGGTATATGGACACACAATGACACAGAGGACCAGGGTAGTTAATGTACCTTGCTGGTGGGGAGGGCCGTCCCACTGTGAATGTCCCCTTGCAGTTCAAAGGTCGTCTCAGCAACACTCCTGCGTGACAGGTGGACAGAGAGAGCATGAGAGTGAGCGAGAGGGACAGAGAGTCAATAAGATCAGGAACAGAACGTCCCCCAGGCAGAGCAGGAGGGACTTTCATTACTGGGAGTGAATTTCGGAGTTTAGACATAAACACGCCCACACACCACACAGTCTCCTACAGCTACATGCTGTACGTATACACACTCCGCCATCCCAGGACTGGGACAGTAAACAGAATGACAGAAATTCCCTTCCATTGGCCTTATCACTGCAAATGAATGACTAGACGACGTTTATCCAAATATAACCTTGCGCTACATTTTAATTATATCCAGCTAACCACGTTAGTGGTGACATGCAATGACAGGCTGGGAGCCATACAGCGTGTGAGAGCTGTCTGTTCAATAGAAAAGGCCTTCGAATTTCACATGCTGCCCCATGACAAAACATATAGCCATACTGTCTGCCCTGAGGGAGACGTGACCGTAGCCCCTCACTGAAAGCTGTGTAATTGACCATAGGGCACTGATACAGGATAACAGTGTAACCACTTAAATCAGTCAAAAGCCTTTTCAATCACAACAAACGTTCATACATCGCGCAAACCTCATAGTCTGTGTTTGAACTAAGTCGGTGTCATTTGATTTCCATTGCTGTTCAAAGCAATGGAATTATTGGATGCAAGCATGAGGTCCCATTACAAACATATGGGGCCCAATGTCGAACTAGCAAGAAATCCACCAGAACCATCAGAACTGTCCCAAAAGTTGAAGTCCTCCCATCTATTCTCTTTGCCCCCCTTTCTTCCACTCCCTCGCTCCCCTCCCACCCAGATGTCATCCTCTCTAACATCAGGCCACAGCATTAACGGCGGATTAAGGCTTCCCGCTACATCCACAACCGTTAATGAATTAACCAGCCCAGCAAGCCTGTCGTTCAGTCCAAATGTTATACGTCAAGTCAATGTGGCTGGTTAAATTAACATCATGGGGATTCTGTCATTAGACTAAAGCCCAGATATACACAGAGTTAATGATCCTCTAATTACTGTACAGCTAAAGCCACATCAACAACAGTCCACAGTCAGTCAGTCTCCGCTCGCTAAATGCACTCTAGAAGCCTAACGACAGATAACATGCTAATGTACTCAATATCTTTACGATTCCTCATACAACTACTGTCAACGAGAGGCTAGAAGGTAATTCTCCAGTCATCTGCTACAGTGTACTCACCCCTGTGGTGGAGACCTACGCAGCCAAAGTCCACTTAATGCTACACATACTCCTCCTAGATCCCAGGCTCTTACCTTCCCTTCTTCCAATAGAAGCCTCTCCTCTCACTCACTTGGCAGTGAAGGACCCACCTGAGCTGTCCCCTTCCTGTACCCGCTGTGCTGCTCTCTCGCTCTGGGTGGAGTAGGGTACGTAGTGAGCACGGAGGCTGCATCAGTGATCGGAATGTGTGTGTATATGTGTCTGTGTGTGTGTGTATGTGAGTGTGTATATGTGAGTGTGTGTGTATATGTGTGTGTGTGTGTATGTAAATGTGAGTGTGTGTGTTTATGTAAATGTGAGTGTGTGTGTTTATGTAATGTGAGTGTGTGTGTTTATGTATACGTGTGTGTGTGTGTGTGTGTGTGTGTGTGTGTGTGTGTGTGTGTGCACCAGGCTCCTGGTCATCCCTCCCTCTTCAATGACAAAGCACTGCAGGCCACACCCCAGCCAGCCAGCCCACACTGATCAGATTAGAGAGTCCCTACAACAGCCCCGATGTACCAGTCCCTCGCCTGCAATAACCCAACTCGTTACCCCTTCGCACTATTTTCTCCTTCTTGGACTTTCGCTCCCTCTCCCTATCTCTTTTCTCCCTTTCCTCTCCCTCTAATACACTCCCTACCTCCTCCTCTCCCTTTCCTCTCCCTCTAATACACTCTCCCTACCTCCTCCTCTCCCTTTCCTCTCCCTCTAATACACTCCCTACCTCCTCCCCTCTCTTTCCCCCCCACTCTCTCTTTAGCTCCCTTTCTCTTTCCCCTTCTCTCTGCAGAGTTAAATTAGAGTTGCCGCGCTCAGATGGCTCCTCCCCCTCATGTCCATGTGGCATCCGTTTCCACGGCAGCGGTGTGATGTGGTCAACTACAAGCCTGGAGTCACATCCCACCCCCAGGGAATCTCTCTCTCGCGCAGACACACACACACACACACACACACACACACACACACACACACACACACACACACACACACTCGACCTTGAGGTCAGAATCCTGTAAATGGAATTCAGCAGCACTGACACAGAGAGCAGTAAAGCCAGAGCCATAGACTGTATACAGTAGTGGGTAGGATACCTGACAGGATATAGGCTCTTACTAAAGCTTCAACTATCAGAAGAAATCCCTTGCACCAAGGTGTACTGAGACCACAGAGTTCTAGACCTGAATGACTAGCAGGAAGGCCATGGCTGGGCCCCAAATGGCACTCTATCCCCTTTCTAGGGCCCAAGTTAACTTTAGTTTATTAGGATCCCCATTAGCTACTGCACATGCAGCAGCTACTCTTCCTGGGGTCCACATTAAATGTACAAATACATGACCAAGTACAGAACAGTTATAGACATAAAGGACATATTGGAAAGACACCAAAAGACAACAAAAATACTATTTACACACTTTTCATATACACAGTTACATTAGAACTTTAGAAAGAGGAGCGGTGCTGTGATAATGTTTTTTAAATCAGTTTTTTAAAGATAAACTTGTTTTTTGCCTGAATAACCTCATGTGGCAGAGCATTCGACAACGACATGGCTCTATATAAAACTGAGCCAAGCATTCAATCTGTTTTTGGTTTGGGTACCGTGAAGAAACCCATAGTGGTCTATCTGGTGGAGTATGTATGTCGGACAGTGTTTGAAGTGTATGCAAATAGATTATAGAAGTGGTTAGGTATTTTCAACACACAAATGTTTCTTAAAAAAGACTAGAAGAGAGAAGTAGTCCATTTCTCCTCAACCATGAAAGACTATCATGCATGTTGTTGATGTTAGTTCTGTGTGTGTAGTTAAGGGCAAGGCGTGCTGCTTTGTTTTGAGCCAGCAGCAGCTTTGTTAGGTCTTTCTTTGCTGCACCTGATTATATTACCGGACAGTAATCTAGATGGGACAAGATCAGAATCTGAACTAGTACAGTTGATCTTTGTGTCATAAACACAACACATATTTTTAGAACAGACATACTGTACCTCTCCCCATCTTCAAAACCTTGTCAATATGACTTGACCATGATAACTGACTATCCAATGTTACTCCTAGAAGTTCAACTTCTTCAACTTATTCAAAGGTCACACCTTTGATGCACAACTCCAGTTGAGGTTTAGGTCTAAGAGATTGCTTTGAACCAAATAGAATGATTTGTGATGCTTTTGCAATGCTAGTGAAAAGTAGTGCACTATATAGGGAACAGGGTTCCATTTGAGATGCACCTGATGTCATCTCTGGTGGCTGGCATGTGGAAATGTGGTCCTTGTAGCTCAGCTGGTAGAGCACGGCGCTTGTAACGCCAAGGTAGTGGGTTCGACCACCCATACACAAAAACATTTTTTTATGCACGCATGACTGTAAGTCGCTTTGGATAAAAGCGTCTGCTAAATGGCATATTATTATTATTATATTATAAATAGGAAGCTGTGCTGTTCTGGTGTTCAGAGCAGTGAGATGAGAGCCACCATTGTGCTGCTCAGTAACCTAGCTGAAAGATGCATCCTGAGTCTGATGACACTGGTGACACTGGTATCAGCAGTTCTCCACTGCTTCCTGTCCCTATTCATTTAAAGCACGTACGCGTTATCCCTGTCAACAGCCGTCACTCCACCTACCCTGACTTGTGCCTGCCTCTTATCATTGGTCCGGGCCCTCCTTTGCCCATGCTGTGGTCGTAGCTGGGGTCCACAAACTTGAAGACGTGGGAGGCTCCGAACTGCAGTGTGGCTCCGCTTCGCAGCACGGTGGTCTCTGTGATACGCTGGCCGTCCACGTAGGTTTCAGCCTCCAGACTGTGTGGCGTCACCGTCACCAGACCCTCTGTGTGCATCAGGTTGCAGTGGTGGGGCAGGATACCTGGACCAAACAGCTGGAGGGGGGGGACAAAACACATTCGTATCACAAGACCATTGAGCTCAGCTAACTTGTAGTCCAGTCTAGGCTAGTAACTTACGGCTAGGTCAATGTAGCATGTGACCATTCACACACACACACACAAAGGGCAGGTCCTCACCTGGATGGAGCCATCGTCTGTACTGTCTGAGCCCACCTCAGTGACACTGTACTGCAGGCGGTAGAGCTTTGGTTTATCCCTGGAGTCGGAGCCATCTATGGTGGAGACCAGGAGATAGTCAGTCCTCACAATATGGAGGGACACACACTCACTACACACAGAGACAAACACTCACTACAGTGCACAGCAGGAGACACACTACAGTACAGAGCAGGAGATTTGAGTCGTATACCTCACACACAATACATACAAGACCATGTATTCCTAACAACTACCAGTAGACCAGATCATTTGTGTATTTTGATTAGTAAACCACATATTTTAGTAAAAGCAAGCAGGAACTTAGTTAACAAGGGAGGGAAAAACATGTATTTGTCTTCTAAAAATCCTAATTTGCAAAAAACACTTGCTATTGCTAAGCCAACAATATCGGTCATGGGCCTTAAACGTGGCTTAGTGCAGAGGAGTTGACTTAACGTCCCTAGTCTTCACACAACCCCGCCCTAGATAGTGAGGCCCCCTCTGATTGGCTGAATCATGGATTAAAAAGGAATTCAGGAAAGTAGCAATCAGTTGCCCATAGATACTGATCTCAGGTCTGTTTTGTGCTGGTCAGCATTTTGGGGGTGGAGAAGCTGATCCTAGATCTGTGTCAAAGGGCAACTTTTGAGAGTGGGTAGAAGTTGAACCTAACCACTGATACGGTCAGATCTTTTTCCATCACTATAATGATCAAAAATAGAATACTCAATAATCTTCCGGGTAATCTGATCCTAGATCTGTAGTTAAGGGCAACTTCTACCACAAGCCAGCTTGTTTCCAGAGAAACACAGCAGTAGATGGGTCTGGTGATGGAGTTGAGAGTGGAGGAGAGGCGTGGGTAGGCAGGTTTACCTTCGAGGTGCCGATATGCGTAGTAGCCATAGTGATTCCCCCTCCCTAGGTGAGCAGACATGCAGAGGAGGCGGCCGCAGTAGGGACAGACAGAACACACACCATGCCAGAGGAGGCCAGGAGAGAGGACACACACACACACACACACACACACACAGCAGAGGGTGAAAATATTGCAGCAAGGAGAAAATGCAGCACCCTTCTTCGCCTCACACATTCGCACTCCACAAGCACGCACACCCCAGAGTCCACACACACACACACCCCCCCAGAGTCCACACACACACCCCAGAGTCCACACACACACCCCAGAGTCCACACACACACCCCCCAGAGTCCACACACACACCCCCCAGAGTCCACACACACACACCAGAGTCCACACACACACACACACACTTGTGCGAACATGCACGGAAATAGTCCAACAAACACACTTTAGACTACCACACACAGCCTTCACCCAAACACTCAACACACCTTGAATCCCTCATGCCGAAAGAGGAGAAAACCCTAGCCTGGGAAACATACTCTTTCGTTGCAATGTACTCAAACAGATCTCAAACCTTCAAATCGAATCTCTTAGATACCTAACTAGTAACTACTAAACAAATCTCTGAAGGGGTTAAAATGGTTCTGAGAGACAGGGTTAGTGCACTGCATGGGTGTAAGGTTGGTCAGGGGAGCATGGAGGGAGACGGCGGTCAGTGGCAACAAGCAGCTGTTAGGGCCAGCCCAACAGTGATAACTGGCCATGGTACTGGACATAACATCCATCCATCCATCCATCCATCCATCCGAGGACTCGCTACTTAGACCTGATTCATTCTCTTGGTGGATTGGGAGAGGGGGGTAGAATAAACTGGGCAGGAGATGCTTCTAAGGCCCACTCACTCACCTTGTTAGAAGAGACTACAGAGTACTCAGGGCATCAGGAAGTCTGGTCCATACAATACAGTATATTACCTACACTGCCGCTACACTGCCGATTTTGCAGGTTTTCCTACTTACAAAGCATGTAGAGGTCTGTCATTTTTATCATAGGTACACTTCAACTGTGAGACGGAATCTAAAACAAAAATCCAGAAAATCACATTGTATGATTTTTAAGTAATTAATTAGCATTTTATTGCATGACATAAGTATTTGATCACCTACCAACCAGTAAGAATTCCGGCTCTCACAGACCTGTTAGTTTTTCTTTAAGAAGCCCTCCTGTTCTCCACCAATTACCTGTATTAACTGCACCTGTTTGAACTCGTTACCTGTATAAAAGACACCTGTCCACACACTCAATCAAACAGACTCCAACCTCTCCACAATGGCCAAGACCAGAGCGCTGTGTAAGGACATCAGGGTTAAAATTGGTCAATGACCTGAAGAGAGCTGGGACCACAGTCTCAAAGAAAACCATTAGTAACACACTACGCCGTCATGGATTAAAATCCTGCAGCGCACGCAAGGTCCCCCTGCTCAAGCCAGCGCATGTCCAGGCCCGTCTGAAGTTTGCCAATGACCATCTGGTTTGATCCAGAGGAGGAATGCGGAGAAGGTCATGTGTCTGAGGAGACAAAAATAGAGCTTTTTGGTCTAAACTCCACTCGCCGTGTTTGGAGGAAGAAGAGGATGAGTACAACCCCAAGAACACCATCCCATCCGTGAAGCATGGAGGTGAAAAAATCATTCTTTGGGGATGCTTTTCTGCAAAGGGGGCAGGACAACTGCACCGTATTGATGGGAGGATGGATGGGGCCATGTATCGCGAGATCATGGCAAACCTCCTTCCCTCAGTAAGAGCATTGAAGATGGGTCGTGGCTGGGTCTTCCAGCATGACAACGACCCGAAACCACAGCCAGGGCAACTAAGGAGTGGCTCCGTAAGAAGCATCTCAAGGTCCTGGAGTGGCTAGCCAGTCTCCAGACCTGAACCCAATAGAAAATCTTGGAGGAGCTGAAGTCTGTATTGCCCAGCGACGCCCGAAACCTGAAGGATCTGGAGAAGGTCTGTATGGAGGAGTGGGCCAAAATCCCTGCTGCAGTGTGTGCAAACCTGGTCAAGACCTACAGGAAACGTATGATCTCTGTAATTGCAAACAAAGGTTTCTGTACCAAATATTAAGTTCTGCTTTTCTGATGTATCAAATACTTATGTCATGCAATAAAAAGCAAATAAATTACTTAAAAATCATACATGTGATTTTCTGGATTTCTGTTTTAGATTCCGTCTCTCACAGTTGAAGTGTACCTATGATAAAAATTACAGACCTCTACATGCTTTGTAAGTAGGAAAACCTGCAAAATCGGCACTGTATCAAATACTTGTTCTCCCCACTGTATGTGAGTAGAACTAACTGGGCCTTCCTTACAGCATTTCTGTACTCTCTTGCGTTCGGCGTCGGCTGGGAGTGTGTGTATCTTCAGGAGTGTGTGTCTACCTGTATATGTGTGTGATCTGTGGTGTGTGTGTGAGACGCACCTGGGCTGAGCTCCACCAGGTAAGGCAGTTTCTCTGGGGGTAGAGACCCGTACAGGGGCCCGTCCATGCCCTTCCCTCTGAGGCCCTTGTCCTCTGGCTTACGGCCCTTCTTAGGCACGTAGTCTGGAGGTCTCTTCTTCAGCTGGAACACTAGGGCTCCTGAAACAACACATGGAGCTGCGTTATGACCCAGAGCTACCAGGAGAGGGCAGTATAGACAGGGGATGTCAGATAAAAACACAACCCATACAGATAATGAACTCGTTCTGAAAAAAACGTATGAACAAAAACCTCAACAACCAAGTTGGTTAAAACTGGCTTTTGGTTGTTTTTGTAGGGTCAAATCCCTTTAGATCTGCACGTTTAATCTAGACTTTTGCGTAAACACTACCTCTGTCGTTGGGCCAGTCTCTGAAGATCTGAAGAGGACACTCCGTATCGTCCAGGATGATCTCCTTCCCAGACTTGTCATCTGTGTGCTGCAGGACCACAAAACACAACCGCAACCGTAAAACCACCACACATTCAACTGGAACAGTAACAAATCAACATTCATCAACTTGTGACCATGCAACCATTGCTTACATATAGTGTAGCATATAGGGTGTACATACGATGTGTTCCAAACCATTTGATTATTGCCCATTAGAACATAAGCCAATAGCTGGCTGCTCTCCCTTTTCTTTGGAAGGTCTCGCTCCATGTCTCCCTCATGCACCAGACATGACCTCTCCCTCAGTAATGACTGACTGTCCAACACAAGACGCAGGTGAGACACATGCACTTCCCATGTCTGGTCACAGCGGTTTAACGTTGCATATATTAATGACAGATGTATAATTGAGAGAAGGATGGGAGGCTGGAGAGATGGAAGGAGGGGGTACTGAAGGGCTTTTCATGTGATTGGCTCTGACTGGAGCAGTCAGGCGGCAGGGATATGAGGCAGCGAAGGTCAGCGCTTTAGCGTGGAGATGTTTGTCACATGATGACAGGAGAGATTAGGCCAGCCATTCTGCTGTTCTGTCATCCCTGCCCGGCCTCCATACACAGTACACACACAGCATCGCATCTGCTGGCCTGGCACTTTGTAGAAATGCAATTCAATTACTACCAAACAGAAGCCTGTGCCAACAGTCCCTTTCCTGCTTTCATCTGACAGACGACTAGGAAGAGCGTGGACGGCTGGATGGGAAAGAGATTGAGAAGGGAGGGAGAGAGACGGATGGATGGAGGGGGGAGAGAGAGGGAGAGAGGGAGAGAGAGAGAGAGCGAGAGAGAGAGACAGAGAGGGTGTGTCCCTTTGCTGATGCTATAAACCTGTAGCCTATAAAACTAGTGAGATCAGGGGGACAGGTGAGTGTCATATTGTATAAGTGTGTACAGGTAATGTCTAGAAGCTTAGCACGTGATGCTAATATGGAGCAGCGGCCAGGAATTTTGTCCCAACTGTAACACCCATGATTTAACTAATAAACTGCCTATCTAGAGTGTGACAAGTTGAATCAGGTGGGTTAGTGCTGGGTCGGAATGAAAGCCTGAACACCATGTAGCTCTCCAGGACCACGGTTGGCTTCCAATGCGGGAGAGTAAGGTCTAGCTGTGCTTGGTAAGGAGTGGTGTGTTGACTCTTACCCTGGCGATACAGTACTCCCGGGGGTTCTCCTTCTCCAGGCCGTACTTCTCAAGGGCCTCCACCACAGCAAAGTCTGCCATGTCTGTAGTGGACAGCAGGATGGTCTTATAAGGGATGTTGGGCTTTAGACTGTCTGCATAGATCCTCAACGTCCCCCCTAAGAGACAGAAACAGGAGTTGAAGTTAGACACACACACAGAGCATGTGACACATTCATTTTATTATGCTACATCTACTTGATATATTTTGTTTTCCATTGAAATATTCCACATAGCAGCATACCTCGCCTTCAGCACTCTGTCACACACGCTTTCTTTATTTTTCTCTCTATCAGACTACAGGCTGGCTCGGAGTTTAGTTAACAGACAGGGCTGTAGGCCTAGGATGCTTGCCCATTTCACACAGGGCTTTACTCCTGTGGACTGGGACTAGAGAGAGAGAGAGACTATGAGGAGGAACTGGGAAGGAGGTTTACATCTGTGTCAGAGAGAGGGGAGTGAACCGGCAGACCAAACCAGAGAGCTTATGGTCCAGGCCTCCAGATTACATAACATCTGAGGTCTGGACATCACTCAATAGGACAAAGTCTGATCAGTTGGTGCTGGATAGTAAACAATGCCAGAACAGCCTTTGTGCAAACAAACTTCCAGAGATAATCAAGGCACTCTCATGTAGTGGAAAAATTTAAAAGCCTTTAATGTATTACGGCTTAAGACAAGGCAAGAATAAAAAAAAACACTGATGCGTTGCGGCTACAACAGCCTTCATCAGGGTGACAAAGAATAGTGGTGGACAAACACGTTTATATCCCAACTCTCACAGGAAGTGACTCAATTCATTATCATATGAAAGGGAAAAACGATTGACGTAACCAAAATGCATAATGCAACGCCACAAATGAAATATAATAAAAGCAAAAAACCAACCGTGTACACATGAGCTCATGTTAGCAAACTTCAGAATGAAAAAAATAAATAAAAATTAAGCAAAAAAGAAACCACCCAATACACCACCACACAAGAAGCAAAGCCCAGCTACACCAGCCAGTCAGTCATGAATGTCCAAAGATTGTGTCTCAGCTCTGTCCAAAGGTTTGTCTTTTGCCTACCTACAGTGCTAATCAGTTCCAAGCTAAAGTTGACTTGTTCAAATTCTATAGGAATATGCACTTGAAGGTTTGGTATAAGCAGCAGCCTACAATACATGGCAAGACCAGCCTCCCAAGTGCAAAATGCCATTCCTAAACCTCGTTTTCAAACTCAAGTCCACCTTTTCCCAGTTAACAACCATGTTTGCCTTAATGCCTTTACCAAAAAAAATGTCTCACGATGTAGATAACTATTTGAATATAGGAATAAGGTATACAGAGGTATCTCAATAAACAAGAAAATGAAGCCATTAAATGGGTTTCTGAGAATGACAATGTTCGCGGTGCTGACAGAGGGGCTGTTATTGTACGGGGGAGGGACAATACTGACAGCTCAACAATACTGACTACTACCTGCCTTTGTTTTCTAGCCCTTTGAAGAAATGAGAGTTGGGTGAAATCTTGGGCCATGCCAAAGATTAAAAGTGGACCACTAAGGGTGTGTTCGTAAATTCACTCTGGTTATCTACTCCGATTTCAGAACTCTCCTCTGAGTGTGCCAGAGCGCAGAATAACTGATTCATTACAAACGGTCAACACATTTTGGATATGACCGGTGTCAGTAAACGTTGACACATTTTTTAAATTATATTGTTGCCAGCAGCACCATATTCACTAACGCTCTAGATATCATGAAATCAGTCTAACCAGCTCTGCTAGGGCGAGTAAAATTGGTCAGAGTGAGGTTCTCTCTCATTTGTGTCTGGAAGTAGCTAGCAAGCTAGCCAACTTTAGCCAGTTAGCTTGGGTGCTCGACTGCCGTTGTGAGGTCAGAACAGCCAGATCAACCCTACTACTCGGCCAGAGCGTCCAGTGTGCGCTCTGAACGCTCCGAGAGCGAAACTCTCTGAATTTATGAACAGACAATCTGGCAATGCTCTGAATTTACGAACGACCCAGAGCGCACTCTGACACATTGGAGGCAATTTACGAACGTACCCTAAGCAAGAATATTACTTTCTTCTAAGCAACAATGATACTATATCAGAGCCAGCCTCCATGTATGTTGATTTCTACATTAAGTCTTGTGTCCTCTTTCCTTCAAGATACCACTCACACGCTTTAAAGCGTGTTCTCCAACTGAGGCCAGAGGAAAGTACGCCCCCTGAAGACTTACTCCTTCAATTAACAAAGTGACACTAAACAAAGTTTTCATTTTCCAGCACAAGCTCTTCAGACAACAGAAGGGGACTGCTATGGGGGCTTGCTTCACTCCAAACTATGCTAACTTATTTTTGGGACTTTGGGAAGAGAAGTTTATTCTCTGTTCTGCTAAACTATTTTCTTTACAAAATTGTATGGTATGGCAGATACATTGATGACATTATTTTAGTGTTCTCTGGATCAAAAAATGTATTGTTAGAATTCCATAACTATGTTAATTCCCTCAATGAGAATTAGAAACTGAGTTTAGAATACAGTCAAATGGAAATGTACTTTCTGGATCTGAAAATCTTAACTCAGGATGGCTCACTCCACACCACCATTTATAGGAAAAGTACGGACCGCAATACTATCCTCATGGCGGACCGTTTTCACCCCACTAGTCTGATTAAGAACATTCCCTTCAGACAACAGTATTTGTTGACCGGGAGGGAGGAGGATTGAGGAAAAAGCTGTGGAAATGCATTCTAGGTTTCAGACACTGGGATAAAAACGTAGTGTGTTAAACAAGTCTCTCACCAAAGCTAAATCTATGGAAAGAGAAAGTCTTCTCAAACACACCCACAGGCCTCAAATCCCCAAACCAATCTACTCTCTGTCCCGCCACAGCCAGGAGGCCGCCACAGCCAGGAGGCCGCCACAGCCAGGAGGCAGCCACAGCCAGGAGGCCGCCAGGGTTTAAGACATCATTAAACGCAATTGGAGCATCATTGAAAGTGATCCTATTCGATGTGTTCACTGAACCCCCAGCATTCTCTTACAGAAGGGCCCCTACCCTCAAGGATAAGTAGGTGCGCAGCGACCTCACCCCAGTAACTAAGCCAAGTTGGCTCCCCAAGGCCACAGGCAACTTCCCATGTGGTAACTGCAATCACAGCAATCACAAAACAAATACGGTCAGGGACCTAGAACCTCTCAAGTGCAATAATTTGTCAACTGCAACACTACATATGTTGGTGTAGAGGCTGGAGTGCCCATGTGGGTGCTTTTACATAGGACATACTAAGAGAAGGCTCAAGGACAGGGATCTTTAAACTGGATCCACTGTATTGCCAGGTCTAAATGAGGAAATTGATTTTCTCCCTTCCTGTAAGAGGTATGTGTTTTATTAATTTTTCTCCATTCTGAAGTTTGCTAACATGAGCTCATGTGTATACAGTTCATTTTTTTCCTTTTATGATATTTCATTTCATTTGTGGCGTTGCATTCTCATTATGCCATGTTTATTTGTTTATCTTTGTATCTTGAATACGTTTTTTTCCCCTTTATCAATTACATATGATAATGAATTGAGTCACTTCCTGTGAGAGTTGGGATATAAACGTGTTTGTCCACCACTATTCTTGTCACCCTGATGAAGGCTGTTGTAGCTGCAACGCGTTGGTGGTTTTCTATTCTAGCCATAATACATTAAAGGCTTTTACATTCTTCCACTACATGAGAGTACCTTGATTACTTCTGGAAGTTTGTTTGCACAAAGGCTGTTTACTATCCACCATCAACTTATTTTTGTTCTATAGTATTTCATCCCATGATCAAAGAGCACCTCATGGATTAACTATAAACCAAAGAAGTGTTCTTCTCCTGTGTCTCTAGGAGCAAGTCTGAGTAAATAAGTGGCTGGAGGTAGAAAGTTGCCACTAACCACAGATCTAGGAACAGATTAATCTAGATTAAAAACAATGTTTTTACTTATTCTAAACAACACTTGAGATCAACGCATTTTTAAAACAGTTATGTCACAGCTTCACCACTTGACCAAAACGGCTTTGGGATACAGAGTTCAGGCGGCCAAACTATGGAGGGAGGGTAAAAAAAACCATCCTGCTGACGTTTTTGGTGTTCCTCCCATGGTTGGCAGCGGGCTGTAAGCCACTGGGAACAAGATGTGAGGCCTGGCAGTCCCAGCCAGTGTGTGGTGTTCACTGAGGACATAGGCTAAAGCGGGTTAGAGTGGCCCCCTGCTCGGTCTGGCCCATGCCTTATGTAATTACAGTATGGGCACAGGGTGTTCTCTACTGGCCACAGATAGGACAGGGACCAGAGACAATGGCTTTGGACTGGCCTATAGGCATATCTCTCGCTCTCACACACACACACACACACACACACACACACACACACACAAAACAGCTCAGCTATCACAGTGTCCTATTCAAATAAAAGTAACACATTTTAAAGTTTGATAGATCCAGGAGTCCCAGGAACCTACCAGAGTCTGGCCTGCCGTCGCTGCTGCGGAACTCCTGCATCCTCTTCTCCAGTTTCTGCTGCCTCCTCCTCTTCATCACCACCTCAGGGTTAGAAATGGTCCTGGTGAAGCTGTTCTCCGGCATGTCCTTGTACACCTCTGCTGCCAGCCTGGAGTTCTCTCTGGAGGAGCAGAAATACAACATTCAGAAGTACTCCATTGCAAACCTACTTACAGAAATAGATTTGCTTTACCATGCAGGTTACTTCTTTATACACTAGCAGTAGGACGAGGGGACGTTCATCGTCAATGAAAACATCATTTTCAACTAGCAAGACTAAGAAAAGGAAACACTATATAAAGCTACAAGTGACATTGCCCTCCTTACCCATCTTCTCTGTTCAGTGCTTGCTCATCTCCGTCCGGAATGTGAGCCTCCTTCTCTCTCTTCTTCTCTCTCTTCTTCTCTTTCTTGGATAGTGTCCGTTTGAAGTTCTGGATCACTCCCTCCTTCTCTGGCCCGTTGCTCTGCACCTTCTGTGGCAAGAGAGAACAAGAGAAAGCGCGAGAGAGAAGGGGAAAGGTTCGATAGGAGGTGAGAGGGTGTGAGGTTTGTTACTAAAGCGGGTCACTTAGCCTAAGTGTTGTATTAAGGCATTCAGTGGTATTAGGGGGGCCCCAGAGGGGGACTGTCTGGGCGGTGGGCTGAGGCCTCAGTGACCCTAGGCCTCCACAGAGAGTTGGGAACGGGACATACTTAACACCTAGAGCCTGAGGCCTAGGGCTCTGGGCACCAGTCTACCAGCTAGCTGACTTAAACCATCAGCTGACAGAGAACAACAGGGCCAGAGTTCAATCAAAAGCCAAACGTGAACTGACTTGGCTTTCTAGACTTGGCCATAGAAAGCAGAGAGAGAGCAAGAGAGGGTATGAGTGAGTGAGGAGTGAGAGCCTTTTCAGAGGGGATCAGTTGGAGTCTAAATCCCCATAAAGCAATAGATGTGTTAAAGCATTCCAGTGTTCCAGAACTGCCCTGTCAAATGGCTGAGCAGGGGACTCTTCTAATAAGACTGCATCTCTTTCCACTTCCCTAAAGCACTCCAGCAGTCCTCATCTCCTATCGCTAACACACATACACGCTCACACATTCCAGCCTAAAAGCACTCTGGGGAACCCTCTATGTACCTCTAGTAGCAGATGCTTTTAGAAGGAGAGGAGAGGAGCTGCCACTAAGAGGAGTTAAGTGAAGTTTAAGATCTGGTTCCCCTGCTATGACTGGACTGATGAGTTACAGAACAGACTGGGTAAGAGAATGAAGTGTGTTTACGTGTGTGTGTGCACATGCATGTATGTGTATCTTTTATAGCTCTTTACTGCTCCCCTGGGCAGAGGAGGTTGATTATACTCACACTGGACAGAGTGTAGCCACACGTCCCAGAAGATGAAACATACATAACTCATTCACATCTCACACACACACACACACACTACTGCCTTTTATCTAGGGCCAGGGGGAGAACCACATATTTGGCTGAGGAAATGGCTCGGGGAGCTGAGGTACTCGAGGTCAAGTCCTCCAGAATAAAATAAAACACATAGTTGCTTCTCTGGGGTGGTAAAGAGCACTAAAGAAGTCTCCGAGCCAGGATGCACATCAACACTTTGAACAGTAAGTCCCTGTGAGCATCTAATGAAATATAGACTTATTCAAGATCATAGCAGTGAACTTGATGGTTGGGTATTTAGTTACAGTGCTACAGAGGCAGAGTAATCTGCTAGTGTTGTCATGGCAGAGGTCCTCCTGTGCAGTAGTTTTGAGTAATTTCACTGATGGCCACATCTAAGACTAGCCTGGGTCCATTATTATTTTTCAATGGTGTAACGCACATTCACAGGAATCCCCAAATCTTGCCATATAGCCCAGTACCTACTTGAGCTGAAGCAGACTGGAAGCCAGGCTAGCCTAAGACCGCTCTGCTCCTGTTGCTGCTGTTGTTGTCGATACTCACCTTGGGGATGATGTCGTTCTCGTTCTTGAGGACGAAGCGTCCCTCGCGGTCGTCTTTGTTCCAGTTGAGCTGCACCACCAGGGGCTTCTCATCCAGGTCCAGCTTCCGTTCTTCTGCCAGAGAGGGGGAAATCACACTGCTTTACACCCTGTCAACCCACACCAGTTAACACATCCTCCTATACAGCCAGCTAGCTAGCTCTGGGCTATATACTCTAGTTTAACATAGATAAACATTAGGATAAGCTTAGGATAAAGTATTAGGATGAGCTTAGGATAAAGCGTTAATGATTTACATAGACAAACGCGGTAGGACTGCTGAGATTTAAAATAGAACTATATAAAAGCAGGTCTAAATTAGCTTTCATCACTGTGCTAGCAGAAAAGCTATGCTGGCCCACACTCACACGCTCTTCCTCTCTCCCCCTCTCTCAATATGAAGAGAGATCAAAGCCTGGACTGAGGGATGCTGATCTCAAGGTCACATAAAGCACCATGGGAGTTGGACACCACACTCCTGTCTTCTCTGTACCGCAGGCTAACAGTCTTCGTCTAGTAACCCCAACAGAGTAGCTAACTCAAAGAAGATTGTCAAACCACATACCCAAACAAATAAGCAACCTGATGTTGAATGTTAGCAGTCTAATGCTAGGTGTGATAAACAACACTTGTTCAATACCCTTGGTCTACTTACTAACAACCCACCACAAAACCCACACCCATCCATCCACCCAACAGACCCCGCACACTCACCCCCGCTGACGTGGACCTCGTAGAGGGAATATTTGGGCGAGGAGAGCATCCTCATGTCGGGCCGGAACTTCTCGGCCAGAGTCTCGATGACGTCTTGAGTGGTGGCCGTGGAGGACACCCGGATACACTTGGTGGCAAAGTTCCCCGCCACGCGGTCCTGGAAGTAGAAACGCATCACACCGTGGAACTCCAAATCCTGAAAGAGAGGGAAGATGAGAAAAGAGAGAGGTGAGGGTCATTCGTTTCCTTCACAGCTGAAGACCTGAAGGGTCGAGTTTGGCTTTTTCCTTCGCTTCTCACACTTTTAAAATAAATACTCCATGCTACACCAACAATGAGCGTCTTGAAAAACCACCACATTTATCACCGAAGCAAGTCAAAACCCAACTATTTTCTTTTGTTGAACGCAGCCTTATTTTGATATTTTGACAACAGTAAACTCATAACCAACCTGCAGCTGTGGCTGATATTTGAGCGAGGAGATTTTTCTGGAACAAGATAAGAAGTAATGAGAAGAGGAGAGGACGGTAGTCGGGGGATAGCTGCTCCTGTTTCTAACCCAACACGGTGAGAGAAGGATTAAAGGAAAGAAGAGGAGAGAGGGGGAAGAAAACCCTGGAGGAACCTGTTCTCCTTATTTGTAGTACAATAGCGAGGCAGGTGCTCTGTAGCTACAGAGATTGAGGAATATGAGCTTAGCCAGGATATGTACATAGACCTGGAATCGCTTGCCATTTCAATAACGGAACACTGGTCACTTGAATAATGTTTACATACTGTTTAACTAATTTCCTATGTATATACTGTATTACAGTCAATGCCATTCTATTCAACTATTGCTGTACCTATACTATTCTATCCTATGTATTCTTCAGATATACTACATATTCTATCCACATACAGTCCATTATGTCTATACATCCTATCACATATATACACATATATATATACATATATACATATACATAAATATATATACATATATATATATATATACATATATATATATATATATATATATATATATATATATATATATATATATATATATATATTTATACTGCGGGCTCCAACATTGCACGTCCATTTCAAATGTGTCCAATCCCTCAGCATGTGACATCACATCAGCCTCACCCCAGGGGCTCATGGGCCAACCAGAACAATGGATGTCAGGAGAGTCACCGTGTGTTTCCTCACCTCTGAAAAAACTTCCTAAAACCACCGCTCAATATGGTGTGTGTGTGTGTGTGTGTGTGTGTGTGTGTGTGTGTGTGTGTGTGTGTGTGTGTGTGTGTGTGTGAAAACGGAAGAGCGTTGTGTGTGCGTGAGAGGAATATAGAGAAATAGTCCCACAAAGATATCTAAATGACCTCATTCCTAACCTGTGACTGGGGGTTCATCTACTGGTTTATTTCCAGACCCAGAATAGTCCTACTACACTTGGGAGAGCTCCGCTCACACACACCCTCCCTTCCTCCCATTACAGGAAACACAGCCCTGAGTCATGTTGAGTCTCATCCCCACTCACTGACCATGCAAAATAGACACATACACATGCAGCAATGTCCTTGAAGTTAAGGGAATGGACTTAACAAAGGGCAGAATGTCGAGAGCGCTGTGGTGAGGTAAGGCCCTCTGCATGGTTACTGTATACAGTCATGGACTTTATCTCTAAACTAAGAGTTACCCAGCTAACTCACCCACCTCAGGCTGCCTCCACTGACAGACGGAGACAGACAGTCTAGTCTTCACTCCGAGGGGCCCTCACTGACTAGTCTCTCTGACAGAGGCCTGACCTGAGCCTCATAGCAGAGGTGATAAATCAGCTTCACTCCAATATAGCTCCTTTCATCCCACTACCCGCTACACATTCCCAAAATCTCCCTTGCCTCCTCAAGCGCAGCATCAGTCTGTGATATATGGCCCCCACACCCCTCCTCCGTCCCGGGGCAGAAATATGGCTGCTTTCATCCCCACCTGGCCTTATGGAAAACCATGTGGAGAGAGATTAAAACGAGTGGGATGGGGGATATTAGAAGGGAACTTAAACTATAGCTGATCAGGACAGGGAGGCTCTCTGGACCTGGCTGATGATTGAATGTTACAATAGAGACGTGTCTTTGGTCCAGGACAGCAGAGCAGACTGATGGGTTTGAGAGACAGTACTGAAAAGTTATGGTGACGGCCAGTCTACTGCACGTAATGTGACTGACATCAATCAACTGTCGTCAATGCAGGCAACAATATGCTAGAGCTTGAATGAAAAGCTCCATTCGTAGACTCAGTAAAGCACATCTATGAAGAAATAATTGAAAGTCTTTCGAAATGAAAAATTAGAATTTCAACAAGCAAAAGGAGTTACATTACTAATTTAGTAACACTAAATAACTTTTCACCACATCACTGTTGTCATCTAACCAACACCCACCCGTAGTATGCGCTCCAGCAGGTATATCTCACTGGTCATCCCCAAAGCCAACACCTCCTTTGGCCGCCATTCCTTCCAGTTCTCTGCTGCCAATGACCGGAACGAATTGCAAAAATCTCTGAAGCTGGAGACTCTTATCTCCCTCACTAACTTTAAGCATCAGTTGTCAGAGCACCTTACCGATCACTGCACCTGTACACAGCCCATTTGAAATTAGCCCACCCAACTACCTCATCCCCATATTGTTATTTATTTTGCTCATTTGCACATCATCTCTTGCACATCTATCATTCCAGTGTTAATACTAATTGTAATTATTTTGCATTATAGCCTATTTATTGCCTTACCTCCATAACTTACTACATTTGCACACACTGTATATATATATTTTCTGTTGTATTTTTGACTTTATGTTTTGTTTTACCCCATGTGTAACTCTGTGTTGTTGTTCTTATCGCACTGCTTTGCTTTATCTTGGCCAGGTCGCAGTTGTAAATGAGAACTTGTTCTCAACTGGCTTACCTGGTTAAATAAAGGTGAAATAAAATTAAAAAATTCAAATATACACTATGCAGTTCCCCTTCAGCCCAGCAGGTGGAACTGCCATGTCAATGTAAACTGGCAGGTAATTTGAATAGTAACAAAGCAGGACTGTAATCAATGAAGGCTTGTTAGCCACTCTATGAAGATGTCTGGATGTAAACAATCCCATGGGGAATTCAGTCCACCCTGACTCAACATGCCTGTACAGTTCAGCTCCCCATAAGACAAGAACAGAGGAGTAAAGGCACTTCCATATGTTAGAGGTAAAAAAATCAAAAAATCAATCCCATCTCTCCCTCTGTCTGTCTACCTCTGGACCAGAAGCAGGTTCACTAGTGTTGCTTTTATCTTTAGTTACAAACCATGTAGACAAAGACCAGCTTTATACACTGAGTGTACAAAACATTAGGAATACCTTGCTAATATTGAGTTGCACCACTTTTTGCACTCAGAGCAGCCGCAATTAGTCGGGCATGAAGTCTACAAGGTGTCGAAAGCGTTCCACAGGGATGCTGGCCCATGTTGACTCCAATGCTTCCCACAGTTGTGTAAAGTTGGCTGGTACTACTCCGAAAAGCTTGTTCAATCTCGTCCCACGGATGCTCAATTGGATTGAGATCTGGTGACTGGGCAGGCCACTGCAGTAAGCTGAATTCACTGTCATGTTCGTGGAACCATTCCTGGACAATCTTAGCCTTGTGGCATGGGACATTATCCTGCTGAAAGAATCAATTCGCAGATAGATACACTGCTGCCATGAAGGGATGCACCTGATTGGCAATGATGTTCAGATATCCTGTGGCGTTCAAACGTTGCTCCACTTTTATCAAGGGGCCCAATGTGTGCCATAAACACACACCCCACACCATCACCACCACCAGCCTGCAATGTTGACACGCGCCTCATGATGGATGCATGTCCTCACGTGGTTTTCTACATACCCTAGACCTCCCATCAGCATGAAACATCAGGAACCGGGATTCATCAGACAAGGCATTGTTTTTCCAATTCTCCAGTGTCTAGTGTTTTCATTCCTTAGCCCACTGCAACCGCAGTTTCTTGTTTTACGCTGAAAGAAGTGGAACTAAGGTTGTCGGCTGCCATACACCACGTGTCAAGGTACTGCGAGTTGTGCATTATTTTATGGATCTTTGGGCACCAATGTTGTATTGGACTGTCAGTTGACTAACTGTAGTCCGTCTGTTGCTCTGCACAATTTGTGTCAGCCTCCTTTGTCCTCTTTCATCAGTGACCTGTTTTCGACCACTGGCCTGCCGTTGGCTGGACGTCCTTTGGGTGGTGGACCATTCTTGATACATACAGGAAATTGTTGAGCGTGAAAAACCCAGGAGTGTTGCCGTTCTTGACACACTCAAACCAGTGCGGCTGGCACCTACTACCATAACCCGTTCAAAGGCACTTCAATCTTTTGTCTTGCCCATTCACCCTCTGAATGGCACACATACACAATCCATGTATCAACTGTCTCAAGGCTTAAAAACCCCTTATTTAACCTGTCTCCTCCCCTTCATCTACACTGATTGAAGTGGATTTAACAGGTGACATCAATAAGGGATCATCGCTTTCACCTGGAGTCACGTGGTCAGTCTGTCATGGAAAGGTGATCCTAATGTTTTGTACACTCAGTGTATATGACAATAATAAAATCTGTTCAATGCCAGATGTGGCCTTTTTGAATCCTACATGATCTGAATGATTGCAGTCCCAGTCAGACGATAAACCCACTGCCCTATAAAGCCCAGTGTATAGCTTCACTAGCTAAAGTAATGCTACGTTAACATGACTTGCATTGACCTGATTCATCTGATGAGAAATCTTGAGCAAATAGACAGGCAATAGGGACCTACAGTGCACTCGGAAAGTATTCAGACCCCTTCTCCACATTTTGTTACGTTACAGCCTTATTCTAAAATGGATTAAATAAAACATTTCTCATAAATCTACACACAATACCACATAATGGCAAAGCGAACAGGTTTTTAGAAATGTTTACAAATTTATAAAAAATACAAAACAGAAATACCTTATTTACATAAGTATTCAGACTCTTTGCTATGAGACTCGGAAATTGAGCTCAGGTGCATCCTGTTTCCATTGATCATCCTTGAGATGTTTCTACAACTTGATTGGAGTCTACCTGTGGTAAATTCAATTGATTGGACATGATTTGGAAAGGCACACACCTGTCTACATAAGGTCCCACAGTTGACAGTGCATGTCAGAGCAAAAAACAAGACATGAGGTTGAAGGAATTGTCCGTAGAGACAGGATTGTGTCGAGGCACAGATCTGGGGAAGGTTTCCAAAACATTTCTGCAGCATTGAAGGTCCCCAAGAACACAGTAGACTCCATCATTCTTAAATGGAAGAAGTTTGGAACCACCAAGACTCTTCCTAGAGCTGGCCGACCGGCCAAACTGAGCAATTGGGGGAGAAGGGCCTTGGTCAGGGAGGTGACCAAGAACCCGATGGTCACTCTGACAGCGCTTCAGAGTTCCTCTGTGGAGATGGGAGAACCTTCCAGAAGGACCGCCATCTCTGCAGCACTCCACCAATCAGGCCTTTATGGTAGAGTGACCAAACGGAGCCACTCCTCAGTAAAAGGCACATGACAGCCCACTTGGAGATTGCCAAAAGGCACCTAAAGGACTCTCAGACCACGAGAAACAAGATTCTCTGGTCTGATGAAACCAATATTAAACTCTTTGGCCTGAATGCCAAGCGTCACGTCTGAAGGAAACCTGGCACCATCCTTACGGTGAAGCATGGTGGTGGCAGCATCATGCTGTGGGGATGTTTTTCAGCGGCAGGGACTGGGAGACTAGTCAGGATCGAGGGAAAGATGAACGGAGCAAAGTACAAAGAGATCCTTGATGAAAACCTGCTCCAGAGCACTCAGGACCTCAGACTGGGGAGAAGGTTCACCTTCCAACAGGACAACGACCCTTAGCACACAGCCAAGACAACGCAGGAGTGGCTTCGGGACAAGTCTCTGAATGTCCTTGAATGGCACAGCCAGAGCCCAGACATTAACCTTATTGAACAACTCTGGAAATACCTGAAAATAGCTGTGCAGCGACGCTCCCCATCCAACCTGACAGAGCTTGAGAGGATCTGCAGAGAAGAATGGGAGAAACTCCCCAAATACCAAATACAGGTGTGCCACGCTTGTAGCGTCATACCCAAGAAGACTCGAAGCTGCAATCGCTGCCAAAAGGTGCTTCAACAAGAGTCTGAACACTTACATAAATGTGATATGTTTTTTTATTTTGAATACATTTGCAAAAATGTCTAAAAAGCTGTTTTTGCTTTGTCATTATGGGGTATTGTGTGTAGATTGAGGGAAAAAAAACTATTTAATCCATTTTAGAGTAAGGCTGTAACGTAACAAAATGCGGAAAACGTCAAGGGTTCTGAATACTTTCGGACGGCACTGTATATGGATTAACCCCATTTCATATAAATCCTCATTCCACTTTTACCCAGCGGCGGAGAGAGAGGCAGGGGATGAGGAGAAGGGTTGTGTGAGTGTGTCTGCGCACACTGGGCCTCGGGACTACAGCATGGGACTGACATGTCTGCTACACAGAGGGACTCCACAGCATCCTGGCTGTGTCAGTATTCATCTAGCAATTAGTATTTTAATCTGACTGGCTCCAGTCAGAACTGCACTGGGCCAGTGGAGAGAGGGATGGAGGAAGGCGCAGTAGTAGGCTAACTGATGGACAAACAACGGCCAGCCTAACTGGCTAACTTAAGGACAAACGAAACCACGCTCTGCCTGACTAGGCTATCACTAACTACAGCCAAGTGAAGCACGGACCCTGGTCACATGACCAGACCACTGACGGCCACAGGGGAAGCAGTGGAGAGAGAAACAGACAGGAGTGATTGCCATGGTAACATGGTTAAACCATTGCCCCTGCTAAACCTGTATTTGGCATAGTAGCTGCGGTCAGGTTGACCTTTGTCAAGACCAAGATTCAGGCCCTGGAGACAGACATACACAGTCATCCATTCTCAGCGGCACCTTTCCTTCTCCTCCTCCTCAGCCTGAAGCATGCCAGGAGAAATCAATGCCTCTCCTCTAGCAGAGTCAGGTCAGTGTCTTGGATTAACACCACAGACTGCGTGGATGTCTGCATGAGGCAAACCTCTCACATACACACAGCACAGCCTGACCTTGTCAGCAGAGTAATGAAGGGGTTAGAGAAAGCCACATTACCACAGACCTAGAATCAACTGAGGCAACCTGATCCATCTACTGCTGTTAATCATCACATAGACATCATCCACCATCACCACATCCATCCAGCAAGCCCCACCCAGCTCCCTGCACACATATCATGGCCACTGGTAACACTAGCATGGAGGCTGTCACTCCTTCCTCTATCCTCCTTTCTCTCGCCGTCCCTCTCCTCCACTCATCTCCCTTTCTCCTGAGAGACATGACGATGTCTGCCAAGTGGCTGGCCGGAAGGAGAGCACTCAGCAGGATTGGCTGGCTGGGAGGAGCGCAGGCAGGGGATTGGCTAGCTGGGAGGAGAGAAGGCAGGGGATTGGCTAGCTGGGAGGAGAGCAGGCAGCGAATTGGCTGGGAAATCAAGCATTACATCAATCGCTCTCTGCTTTGCATGACAGGAAAATAAAGCATTACATCAACCTCCCCAAGGCTCTGACTGGACAGACTGGAGGATCTACATGGTCACAGCTATTGTAGGGACAGGGACACCCATGGAGGAATATACTACTGTACATACAATGCAGTGGTCTAAGGCACTGCATCGCAGTGCTAACTGTGCCACTAGAGATCCTGGTTCGAATCCAGGCTCTGTCGCAGCCGGCCGCGACTGGGAGACTCATGGGCGGCGCACAATTGGCCCAGGGTAGGGGAGGGAATGGCCGGCAGGGATGTAGCTCAATTGATAGAGCATGGCGTTTGCAACGCCAGGGTTGTGGGTTCGATTCCCACGGGGGGCCAGTATAAAAAAAAAAAATGTATTCACTAACTGTAAGTCGCTCTGGATAAGAGCGTCTGCTAAATGACTAAAAAATAAAAAATAAAAAAATAAAATAAAAAAAAATAAAAAATACAACATAGACAGCGCTGCTTCTAACTTTAATAGTCCTGCTGTGACTTGGTTGAGAATGAGAGCGATACGCAGCAGCAGATTTGACTCTGGCAATGAGAGGCTAGATTGGGTCTTAACTGAGCCCAGCACATAAAACAGCCGAGGCTCAGTCAGTCAGTCAGTGAGCTGCCTGAGGTTTAAAGGAGAGGAGAACTAAGATTCCTCTCTGTCATCTCTGCAGCGAGGCCACATTAGGCATTTCCCAGGTGTTCTCCATCAGATAGTGACTGAGGGGAGAAAAGAGGTGAGGGTAGAGAAGTGCCTGTGATATGTAATTAGGGCAGAGTTTAATGCCCTGTATAAACACAGCTCTTAAAGCCAGTACACAGTCTGGAGAGAGACAGGGGAAAACTAAACATGGGGAAGTGACCCTGCCAGGAACATACCTACAGGATATCTAATTATGTACACTACCAGTCAAAAGTTTGTACACCTACTCATTCAAGGGTTTTTCTTAATTTTTACTATTTTCTACATTGTAGAATAACAGTGAAGACTTCAAAACTATGAAATAACACATTTGGAATCATGTAGTAACCAAAAAAGTGTTAAACAAATCAGAATATATTTTATATTTGAGATTCTTCAAATAGCCACCCTTTGCCTTGATGACAGCTTTGCACACTCTTGGCATTCTCTCAACCAGCTTCACCTGGAATGCTTTTACAACAATCTTGAATGAGATCCCACATATGCTGAGCACTTGTTGGCTACTTTTCCTTCACTCTGCCGTCCGACTCATCCCAAGCCATCTCAATTGGGTTGAGGTCGGGGGATTGTGGCCAGGTTATCTGATGCAGCACTCCATCACTCTCCTTGGTAAAATTGCCCTTACACAGCCTGGAGGTGTGTTGGGTCATTGTCCTGTTGAAAAACAAATGATAGTCCCACTAAGCCCAAACCAGATGGGATGGCATATCGCTGCAGAACGCGGTGGTAGCCGTGCTGGTTAAGTGTGCCTTGAATTCTATATAAATCACAGTGTCACCAGCAAAGCACCCCCACACCATAACAACTCCTCCTCCATGCTTTACGGTGGGAACTACACACCCACACCGCATCTCACAAAGACACAGCGGTTGGAACCAAAAATCTCCAACTTGGACTCCAGACCAAAGGACACATTTCCACCGGTCTAATGTCCATTGCTCATTTTTATTGGCCCATGCAGGTCTCTTCTTCCTATTGGTGTCCTTTAGTAGTGGTTTCTTTGCAGCAATTCGACCATGAAGGCCTGATTCACACAGTCCCCTCTGAACAGTTGATGTTGAGATATGTCTGTGACTTGAACTCTGTGAAGCATTTATTTGGGCTGCAATTTCTGAGGCTCGTAACTCTAATTAACTTATCCTCTGCAGCACAGGTAACTCTGTGTCATCCATTCCTGTGGCGGTCCTCATGAGAGCCAGTTTCATCATAGTGCTTGATGGTTTTTGCGACTGCACTTGAAGAAACTTTCAAACGTTCTCAATGTTCTGTATTGTCTGACCTTCATGTCTTAAAGTAATGATGAACTGTCATTTCTCTTTGCTTATTTGAGCTGCTCTTGCCATAATATGGACTTGGTCTTTTACCAAATAGGGCTATCTTCTGAATACCCCCCATACCTTTTCACAACACAACTGATTGGCTCAAACGCATTAAGGAGGAAAGAAATTCCACAAATTAACAAGGCACACCTGTTAATTGAAATGCATTCCAGGTGACTACCTCATGAAGCTGGTTGAGAGAATGCCAAGAGTGTGCAAAGCTGTCATTTTTATTTTTATTAACCTTTATTTAACCAGGCAAGTCAGTTAAGAACAAATTCTTATTTACAATGACAGCATACACCGGCCAAACCCGGACGACGCTGGGCCAATTGTGCGCTGCCCTATGGGACTCACAATCACGGCCGGTTGTGATACAGCCTGGAATCGAACCAGGGGGTCTGTAGTGACGCCTCAAGCACTGAGATGCAGTGCCTTAGACCGCTGCGCCACTCGGGAGCCCATCAAGGCAAAGGGTGGCTATTTGAAGAATCTCAAATATAAAATATATTTTGATTTGTGTAACACTTTTTTGGTTACTACATGATTCCATGTGTTATTTCATAGTTGATGTCTTCACTATTTTTCTACAATGTAATTTTTTTTTTTAAATCATGTAAAATCCTTGAATGAGTAGGTGTGTCCAAACTTTTGACCGGTAATGTATGTAGTTCTAAGCAACCTTTACACTCCGAGTGTGTATCTGTAACATTGCAATACGCCAGGCCTCTACACACCAAGGAAGAATATCTAGCTACTAACCAATGCCGCTCCTCCACCGTCTCTCTACAGAGAGATACGGACCATCTGTCATAATAGTTACCAGTCATAACAGGGAAACACAGATGAGGCCATGGGAGAGACATGCAAAACACATGATCTCATAAGGTGAAAGAACGAACAAGGATGTACTCATCATGAATGAATTCCTTATAAAAACAGGCCTGTGGCCTAGGGTGAGAAAGTCATAAAAGCTCGATAATGTAGTACAACAATTTTCAATTCCAGTACTACAGCACTTTCAATTCCATTCAATGTAGTAAAAAAGCAGAGAAAGCAGAGTAAAAAAAGCTATATTTGTCTCTAATGTTAAATCACTGGCTTTGCACTTCGTGTTAAATTTTGTGTTTTAAAAACCTGAGGGGAAAAACCAAGGCTAATACACTACATTACCAAAAGTATGTGGACACTTGCTTGTCGAACATCTCATTCCAAAATCATGGGCATTAATATGGAGTTGGTCCCCCCTTCGCTGCTATAACAGCCTCCACTCTTCTGGGAAGGCTTTCCACTAGATGTTGGAACATTGCTGTGGGGACTTGCTTCCATTCAGCCACAAGAGCATTAGTGAGGTCGGGCACTGATGTTGGGCGATTAGACCTGGCTCGCAGTCAGTGTTCCAATTTATCCCAAAGGTGTTGGATGGGGTTGAGGTCAGGGCTCTGTGCAGCCCAGTCAAATTCTTCCACACCGATCTCGACAAACCATTTCTGTATGGACCTCGCTTTGTGCACGGGGGCATTGTCATGCTGGAAAAGGAAAGGGCCTTCCCCAAACTGTTGCCACAAAGTTGGAAGCACAGAATCATCTAGAATGTCGTTGTTTGCTGTAGCGTTAAGAGTTCCCTTCACTGGAACTAAGGGGCCTACCCCGAACCATGAAAAACAGCCCCGACCATTATTCCTCCACCAAACTTTACAGTTGACACTATGCATTGGGGCAGGTAGCGTTCTCCTGGCATCCGCCAAACCCAGATTCATCTGTCGGACTGCCAGATGGTGAAGCGTGATTCATCTCTCCAGAGAAAGCGTTTCCACTGCTCCAGAGTCCAATGGCGGTGAGCTTTACACCACTCCAGCCGACGCTTGGCATTGCGCATGGTGATCTAAGCCTTGTATGCGGCTGCTCTGCCATGGAAATCCATTTCATGAAGCTCCCGACGAACAGTTCTTGTGCTGACGTTTCTTCCAGAGGAAGTTTGGAACTCGGTAGTGAGCTATGTGCTTCACCACTCTGCGGTACCGTTCTGTGAGCTTGTGTGGCCTGCCACTTCGCGGCTGAGCCGTTGTTGCTCCTAGACGTATCCACTTCACAATAACAGCACTTACAGTTGACCGGGGCAGCTCTAGCAGGGCAGAAATTTGACGAACTGACTTGTTGGAAAGGTGGCATCCTATGACTGTGCCACGTTGAAAGTCACTGAGCTCTTCAGTAAGGCCATTCTACTGCCAATGTTTGTCCATGGAGATTGCATGGCTGTGTGCTTTATACACCGGTCAGCAAGAGGTATGGCTAAAATAGCCAAATCCACTAATTTGAAGGGCTGTCCACATACTTTTGTATATATAGTGTACCTGACTACAATCCCGTGGTGGCTAAAGTATAGACAGTGTTGTCTTGTCCAGTGGTGCAGAGAGGAGGAGGAGGAGGAGGAGGGAACACAGCTGCAGCAGGAGCAAATCATCTGTTCCACAAATCAACAGTCAACCCTCCTCTTCTAGCTGTGGAGACGGAAGTGTGTGTGACGGAGGGAGCAGCCTGGACACGCACACACAAACACAGTGGAGAGTGAGCTTGTGTTTATCACAGCCATACATTAAACATAACAGGACAGGCTGAGGCTGCAGAAGGACAGGGTGGTGGTGGAGTGGACACACACACACAAGCCTTTCCAGTCAGGCCATCTCTCCCTGTATGAACCTCTTAGCTAGCATGCTGTCAATCCCCCACACATTCCCCACTGTTACTGAGCCATTGGGACTCTGGTTGAACCCAATTCTCCAGGAGTGGAGGCTTTTCTCTGCTCTAATTCCCTCCACTGATGAATAATAGGAGTCAGAGTTGTTGAAACTGCTCCAGTTGTGCTTGTTGAATACTGGCAACACACTGTTGGACATGTGGAGTGAAATTACATCAATCTAACGTCACCTATTCCAATGCCTAAAACAAAAAAGTATTGCTCATAATCCATTACAGCATGTTCCATGTAACTTGCATCATGTAATTTAATAGGAGGCCAGATAATCACTAAATTCCATTCAATTAGGCTCCATTGGGCTCTATATAACTACTAGCTAGCTTAATCTGTTATGAAACCACTAGTCTGCATTTTCCCTAATGTGTCCCCTGGGCCCTAGGGGAGCGACACATTATGCTTTCAGCAGTAGTAGCACTTAATTCACTCTGAGCAGAATTCCCAGTGTGACAAGTCCCATGCCCACGAGGGAAAGAAGGGCTAGTGATCGAGGATGACGAGGCCTCTGGGGGACTATGGAAATGGGGCTACTGGGCCAGGCATGGATGGACAGTCAGTCCCCTCGGCCAGAAGATGAGCTATAGGACCAGTAATTTAACACCCTACCCAGCTGCTGCTGTATGCTGACACAGCAGCTGTTAAGACCCCACTGGATCCCACTTCAACACAAACTGTCATTTGGACAGAATTGAACTACAGTGTTGTTCATCCAGCATATCAACAGCAGTGAGGAACAAACTAGTCATTACAATTGAGGAGGCAGAGCAGTGTCCTTTTCATCCACGCCAAACATGGTGCAAAACCACACCCACATTCAAAGCCGTGCTGATTGGTCAGAGTTCGGTTGTTCCCTGCGTTTTAAAGAACAAACGCTAGAGACGGAATCCCCACCAAAACATTGCTATCCATACCTTGCATTTTCCCGAATTAGGATATGAGGTTGCATTGAACTATGTAGCTTTTTAGTGAGTGATTGCAGCCAGCCTGACTGATCAGATGGATAGCATCGACATCATAGACAGTTGCATTGTTTTTGGAGGTAAGTAAGCTGTTAATTTTATCAAGTGTTATCGCAAGTAATGTAATGTTAGCTATCTACAGAGTCACTTGCTGCTTGCGTTTCATTTAGCTAATTTCAAACGAGGCCGCGAAACTGCGCATCTCCCGCGGTTCGTGGCATGGCAGACATGAGCAAACACCCCATTCGCGGGGATTTCCTCTTTAGCACATTTACGTCGTCACAGGGAATGTCCGAACTCTGACCAATCAGCGCGGCTTTGAATGTTGCTAGGTTACTCGTGGGCGTGGTTTTGCACCAAGTTTGCCGTGGATAAAAAGGATGTGGCAGAGCATATGACAACTAAGGGTGTAAATAGAAGTCAAACAGCCCTGACGCTCTGGATGATGGACTGGTGTGGTGATGGAAACAGACAGACAGCCAGTCAGAATAGTCCTTCTCCCTTAGACAGACCAGAATAGCACGCCAGCCTAGCATCTGTAGCCCTGGTCTGTTGGCAGCTGTCAGCACAGGGTGGGAGACCTCTACAAAGTCAGTCTGCCACACACATGGCTTGGTAGCACATCTCTGGGCTCAGCCTCCTCTCCAAACACTGCACTTTGACACTGAGGGCACTAGCAGGTGAGAAAAGGGGTCAAGTAATCTTTTTCAGGCTTAGCCATTTTGTGTAATGTTCTGTCCTTGGTGGTGAGTGGTAGTTCTAAACAGATGCTTTAGATTTATACCCCCTGTGATGTGTCTGGGTTTCCCCTTTTGTCTGTGGTAGTAGTAAACAGGCCAGAGCAGAGGTAGATGAGGAGGAGTCATACGGGAGGGGGAGGTGTCTGCCTGGCATGGCCTTAATGTAGCAGCCTAGCCTAGCATCAGAGCCCCACTGGGACAAGCCTAGCATCAGAGCCCCACTGGGACAGGCCTAGCCTAGCGTCAGAGCCACACTGGGACAGGCCTGAGGAGAGGCCTAGCCTAGCGTCAGAGCCACACTGGGACAGGCCTGAGGAGAGGCCTAGCCTAGCGTCAGAGCCACACTGGGACAGGCCTGAGGAGAAGCCTAGCCTAGCGTCAGAGCCACACTGGGACAGTCCTGAGGAGAGGCGTGAAGGCTAATCCTCATGTCTGAGCTGAAGTCTGCAGGAGAGGAGGAGGAGGGAGGGAGGGATGGAGTGAGCTCCCTCTCTCTCGCCCTCTCTGATGCCCCAGGCTGGGCCCCAGCTCAAACACACTAACTACGTAATAAGCAGGCTTGTTATCTCCAGCCGTGTGTATGCTGGGATGATGGCCTAATTCATTTTACTTAATCATCTCAGAGCCTCTGAAGCTATCAAATCATCTCTTCAGTGGCTAGCCATCCATTGAAACCCCTCGGCCTGATACAACACTAGAGACCACCTGCTAGTCTCATAAGATCCATCTTAAAAAGTGTTTGTGTGTGTGTTTCCGTGTGTCTTTGCAGTCTGTGTCTCCATTTTCTCTGGGGAGATGAGGCATGTGCAGCTGTAAAATGTGTTACCACGGCTACCACATCTGGGGACCCCAGCTGTCATAACCACAGTCATCACATGCAGCTTGGCCCTGTCACTACATCAGAGGAGGGAGCAGCTAATCAAATACAACCAACAACCAAGGGGACCAATACAGACGCACCGCTTAAATGAAGGGTCAAGCTCTTGAGGAGTAGCTAGATACTAGCTAGTATTATGATTGTGAAGCTTGGAATTAAGGCAGCTTTGAGCCAACTGTTGTCCTACTAGAGTGACCTGGAGTGGGCAGGGCACTGGCTAGTGGAAATCACTAAATCTGATTAGCAGGCCTGTTCTGTTTGTGTACCCGCACAGATTAGAGTTCCTGGAGTCTGGCTGGCCTGTGTCTCTTAGGTGACCGAAGGTGCTGCTGGCTCACCACCCGGCCCAGGGGGGAAAACACGATGACATGACGGCCGGCCAGCGCCGAGAGAGCGTCCATCCGCCTCGCCTCGCTCCGTTAATTTTTATTTTTCTATCTCGCTCTCACTGAAAGTGCCAGACGAGGGTTGTGTGCAGTAGGTACGAGGCATTCCCCTCTCTCCACTGCACTGTGCTGCTCAGTGCTTGTTAGGACAACTCTCCCATTACGCATCCTCATCTCTGCACACTGCCCCTCAAAAATAGCAAAAGTTGCCTTTTAAAGTCAGGAGTCAGAGAGAGCGCGAGAGAGTGAGACAACAAGAGAGCCCGAAAAATAAAGAGCGAGAGAGGGTTGTAGGGAGAGAGGCCCCCAGGGCAGCATCTTCAAATCGGTGGCTTTATGGACTTTGAGGAGCCTATTCTTGGGGGGAGAGTGACAGAGGGGAGGTGGGAGGACAGGAATCCAATAATGGCCCTGTGCCCTCGTGTTGGATACAAGAGCAGCGCTTGCACAGCACTAACTCTACAGAAGCACAGAACCTACCCAACAGGAGCTGTTGGCCCCGACCCCAGGCCTCATTAACAACGCCTGGAGAAGTAACACACAGACACACACACAGGAATGTGGAATAGAGATGGTAGAGGTGAGGAGGTGGAGACATAGAAAGACACTGGCAGAGAAGGGGAGAATAGGAGAGATACCGCACAGCAGACCCGCCATATGACAAGGCTGTAGTGGACTGTGGTTGTCATCACCCTACCATTAAGGCCTGTGTTGAGGGGCTAAGGAGAGACAGGCACCACAGAGAGAGAGGCCCAGTGTTCTCAACAGGCTAGGCTTGGTAATCACAGAGACTACCGGAGGCCAAGAACACACACTGCTAATGCACACACACACACCCAGTGCTTAGGCCCAGGGACCAGTGTGACATTAGCAACTCTGGGTGGGGACATTCTCTGGAGCAGACAGGATGGAAAGACTTGAACAGGCCGGATGGCTGGACTTCCTCTGCCTCAGTCTCAATCGCACACACACCCTTCATTTCCCTTAAACACAACACTCCACAGTCTACATATGTTTGAATGAAAAAAACCATATATTGAGTCAAGGAATTCAGGAGTCAAGGATTCTAGATTGCCTTATGCTTGCACATCCTTCCAGAGCATGATGACACTAGTCTTATTAATGGGTTTTAATAGGTTCTGCCTAGTTCATGGAGCTCTCAGACAGGAGTCCCCCTGGGGAGCAGAAGTGATGAGCTACCAGACACAATGGAACAACACATCACATATTTGTACAGGCTCGCTACCTGGGCAAGTGGAAAACCATTCTCCTGGCACCAAACTGACAAAGTGATCCAACACTGCCAATTTAAAATGGGTATTAAATGCCCAAACCAGCTGCTACCTTTGGGGCGCATTAGCAGACTGGAATAGAATGTACAACCACACAATCACCCCTGTGGTGATAATATGGGTTCAGGAAGGACAATGTGCTTTTTTACAGACGAAACCACAAAGACATGCTCAGTCATCCCAAAGCATGACACAGCTACCGGAGACACATATTCCCCAGGATCATACACCCACCCACACAGTACAGCCCACCAGTATATATATCTCTCACACAGCCCTGGCTACTTCCCACAGGCCGGTCATTATCAGCTGTGTTTATCAGACTCAGGGTTCGTACAAACAGTGGCAAGTCAAATTCAAGAACTTCCAAGTACTTTTTCAAGCACTAATATTTATTTCCAAAGACCATCAGTTTGTAATAGTTCCTATTATGCAATTGTTTCTAGTCTCCACCAGATGGCAGTATATCGCCACAACCTCATGAAAAAAACAATTAACTTACTATTCATCACAACCTAAAGTTCTACTCAATAATACGTGTTTCCCTCCTTCTTTACTACATACATCAGTGGTAAGTCAGTCCTGATGATGTTGACCTTATGTGAACTGTAATTCAGTAAATTCTTTTAAATTGTTGCATGTTGCGTTTATATTTTTGTTCAGTGTACATAATATTAAATTGTCTTTATATTTAAATTGTCGTTATATTTCACTAAATCCCACAGGCTTTCACATGAAAGTGAAATCTGACAGTGTAAAAGGCCCTTAGTTGACTCTAAAATGTTGTTTCTCTTCAAATGGGTATAGAATACAAGTTATTAATGTGTTTGATAGGATTAAAGACTCTTAAAGGGGACCCTATTTACATTTTAGGGGACCCCAAGTTTGGGAACCACTGTACTACTAACCTCTCTCCCTGCTTGCTTCAATGCTTCCTCTCTCTGTGTATCTCCTTTGCCTCCTTCATTGCAGCCTGACTCACCACTGTCTGTCTCACTACTCTCTATAAAGAAAATGTATTTTGTTATGAGAACTTAGAGTAGCCCATCTTTTGATCATAGCTAGCTTAAATTTCAGTCAACTGCTCCTACTGAGGTCAGGCTCTGTTCAACGTTAGCTTCTAACTCCATCCTTCTAGCCAGCTAGTTATAGCTAGCTACCTGGCTAACAGCCAGAGCCCTTGATCTACCTAGCCAGCTAGATATCTGACTGAACTATCAGCGACTACATACCAGTTGGGGAGGGGATTGTTCGGGGGATGTCTGTTGACACGGAAGGAGTCAAGGGATGTTAAAATAATTCTCACTGTCAGCAGCGTCTTTCTGCTACTTGCCACCGTAAGTCTGGGCTGAGGCAGTTCGTTTCACCCCGCGGCCTGTTGTGGGCAGAGTTTCCCGTTGGACAGAGTGGTAAATGAATGCGCTACTAACAAGGCAAATCCGGGGGAGCAGGCAAACATAACGAGCATACATGAATCATTCACAATTCCACTTGTTCGCAGAGGTAGGTGTGATTAGAACTCATATCAAGAAGCATTCTGAGCGTTGATCAACGCTGGGAACGCAATAAGTGGGTTAACGATAATTAACTAAATAAAAAGTTGAGTAAACGCTATTTCACAAATAAATAGGTGCGTTTACGTGCGTTTATCCTCCACTACATCC